AATGCCTCACAATTCAAATTTTCTTTCAGGAAGCTGAGTGAGCTTAATTATGCTTTGTAGGAATCAGTGGTATACTTTCTGACTGGAGCAACCTCTGTGATAAAAGCAAGTGTGTCCTTTCAAAATAGTGTTCTTTGCTGCTGTAGGGCAAATAAGCAGGAATTACTGAGCAGCTAAAGGTCTTGAATCAGTAAAATTCTCATTTACTGTATGAGTTGAAACTTGCTCAATTTGTGCAACAAGCAACTGGAATTGTACTGAAAAATAACCTGCCTGTCACAGTTGTTCAAGTCTCCTAGTCCTCCTATAATTGCAAGTAGCTGTTTTTCCCCTTGTGTTTCTTTTTTTTTTTTTTAATCACTTAAATTGAGCCATTCTTAACATTTCTTGACTCATTTTCATTTATCTTCTGTTTGTGAAGAAATGGTCTGTGAGACTGTTATGTCAAAATAGTTGGGTTTACTTACATCCAGTACCAATGTAACTTAATAGTCAGTTGAAAGTAGTGATTTCTATTAAATTTTCAGTTTCCTATCTGCCTCTTTCCCACATGGACAGAGACTTTAAAATTGTAATTATTCAATATACTCCAGACTGCAAATTCAGGCCCAACATGCATTTCCAAGTGATATGTGCAAGGGAACTCTTCTCTGCCAAGGCAGAGTGTTCAGCTTGCTTAAGCTAATCTGTGTACTTTTCCCTTGTGAACAGGCAGGAGCTCTTTCAAAGGATGGCTCAGAATAGGAGCTGATTCCTTTTTCTGAGTCCCTAAAACACTGAGGAGAGGAGCCTTCTTTCCCTGCAACTACAGGAAGGTAGCTAGGGATTATCCTTGCTGTGTAGAATTTATCTTGGCATTTGTTAATAGCAAATATTAAGAGTGTAAGTGGAGTTGATAATGTTTCTGTGGTGTCTGCAGGATATATTGAAAAAAACTCTTGGTTCCCTGCATTTACTTAAACCAGGAATGCTTGTTTAATTTTGGTCAAGCATGGGATGTCATTACCACAATACTGCAATATTAATCTCCATCTCTCTTAACTCTAAAGTAGCTAGGTGTTATTTTCCTATTAGCAAGAAATACTGCTGAGCAGACCATTGAATGTGACTTCTGCTTTGTTTTGCTGGATTTCTAGCTATTATACATTTTCCTTAATAAGAAACTCAGGTACCTTCTTATTTTCTTGAAATTTGTACAGGCGGTCATTCCAACGATAGAATACGACTACACAAGGCACTTCACGATGTAACTAAAATAAGAGATGTGTTCCTCTAATTATCAAATCTTTTTTTAAATAACCCATCCATGTGACTTATACAACATTATACACAATTTCTGTAACTAATCTTTTATCAACTTGATGCATTAAAATAAAATGTTCCATTACCAGCCTTTTTAATAAAAATCTGTGTGTAATATAAATAAATCACTTTCATTCCAGTACAGATACTGCACTAAGAGGTGGGATTTTTTTTCTCCATAATTCCTTAATTTCCTTCTATGAGAAAATTTTCGTGTATTTTAGAAACTGAAATCTACTTTTGTAGTAAAAGTCTAATAGTTTTGGCTTTGTTACTGATTCCTAAAAATGCACATTTATTTTTTCTCCTTCAATTTAAATTCATTTGAGAGCTTTGTAGAGGGATTTTTTTCCAGCTATGAATGGCTATATTTCCTCTAGCTGGAGGAATATTTTAAAAGATGAAAAACTTAAGTGATTGTCTTGTTAAGAAAGTCTGACTACAGCTTAAATAAGTAACTGTAACTAACCAGTCTTCGAAAGGTGATTTACACTTGAGCAAGACTAGGGATGGAATATTTGAGGAGACAGAGAAGGGATATTCATTATGTAGTATGTTTCTCTTGTAGTAAAGAACAGTCTTATTGACAAAAATACAGCTTGAGGGTAAAGGGAAAAGATTGCTATGGCAGAGCAAGGTTCAATCTTGATTATTTGTCTGCCTCAGCTATACTAATTGCCAGTGTCATAGCGTGGTTTCCTCCTTGGGATGAAATTGCATGGAGTTGTTTGTGGATTCAGATATTGCACAGGCATCCAGGCTTTAGCAACCACTTTCTGCCCTGTAAAATGTAAGGTTTATACTAATGAAACTTGGAGGCAAGGACCATCATGTCTCTGTTTATATATTTGTGCATATATTTCTAGTCATTAGATTCACTTAAACTGTCTTTCAGGAAAGCACTTTTGTCTCCCAAGCATCCATCTTGCATTCTGCAAGGTAATCCAGAAATTGGGTGTCTGCACTGGACTGAATTTACTGTTGGGTGGGAAGATTAGTCCCAGTCCTGGGACAGCTGGTCCCTGTTTTGGCTGTCCTTTGTACCATGCTCTTACTTACATGGGAACATATAATCAGGTTGTGTGTTCCATGCTAAAACTGACTTTCCTCTTGATATGTCTTCACTTCCTCTTTTTTTGGACATATCTTAAGCAATGTCTATGTAAGTGAAGAGTAATGCTGGCTAAAACCTGTTAAAAACTTAACCACACCCACTGAGTCATGCCATAGGAATTTGCCTAGGAGGCTAATCTCAGAGATGTTTTGGGCTTTCTGGTAACAAAGGAAGCAGCTGTCCTCCGCCCAATAAATGGGGGAGCAAAGAGAGGGAGTATGACTTAAAATAGCCAGTAGTGACGGATATGTTTTTCCTTTGCATCAGATGCATCGGAATCTTTTGAAACATCCTTTTCCCTAAAAGGTATCTGTTCTTCTCCTGTAAGAAGGTGAATTAGTTTCATAAGTCTCCAGTAAGTTATAAAATACTACATTCTTCCTTGTCAGGCTTTTGATGAAAGCAAGTGGCATGGGTTTTTTTTTATTATTAATGTATAAACCAAAGAAGGCCTTTTTCTCTGAACCTAACAGAAAAAGAGGCACAGCAGAACTGAAGAGAACTTGCCAATGGCTTCCATCATCACCATGATCTTAAATACCTTATGGCATTTGTAGCCCTGCACTGTCTGATGTTGCAAAAGCCAATCCTTGGTGACTAAGACATGGTGTTCTGCTTGGGTGCTTATCAAAGTGGCTGTACGTACAAGCAAATTGGATGTGGTGTACTTGTACTGTACCTTCATCCTTCTCTTATTTTGGTATTAATGTTTTAAATTCCTGATAAAACCAAAGATTGCTGCTGTAGGAACTACTACAAACATTTAAACATAGTAACTTCAATTAAAGCTTCTGTCAAATCCTACATGATTATTAATTACCTGAATTTTGTGTTGGTATAAGAAGAGCTTCTGAGAAGTTCTGCTCTGCTCACTTTCCTACTACACACCTTACAGTTCTTATGGCTCTTTTCTTGCCTTCTGTTTCTTGACCTTGGACTTTTGGTATGTTCTTGTTTACAGGTGCTGCATGCAGTAAAGATGTGGGTGAATTTTTGATTCTACTGATTAGGCAGAGAGAGTGAGTTATGAGACAAAGGGAATTAGCTCGTAGAGATGTAAAATAATGACCGTCACAGCCTATTGTCAAACTTCAGATATCTAGTCTTCAATGAACATGAAATGTAAAAATAGTACAATAATAGTAAAAAAATAAAATAAAATACCAATAAATACTTGCTTCCAATAAAAAATACATGTGGAAGATAAAAATCAAAGCAGTAAGTGTGGGAAGTGAAGTTCTGTATTTAGTATTTTAAAAGTCTGATCAAAGCCTAAGCTACAAGTAATGAAGGCTGGAAATAGTGTTAAACAAACAGGGCAATTTCAACTTTGTCCTTCTGCAGCAGCATTTTTAGGTGTGGGAAAGTAGAGTGTGTTTAACCAGCTTGCGAACAAACAGCCTGAGCCATTGTTAGAGAACTAGAATGCTTTGAGTTTGTCTGTGTTGTGAAGTTTATAGGGACACTTATAATTTAGGGTCTTACTGTGCTAAGAGCTTACTGATTTCATGTTTCTTTCTGAAACATGCCTATGTGCTTTTCTAGTGAAAACTAGCCTTTGATACCAGTAACTTGCAAGATCTGTTTTAAGTATTATTTGGGGGAAAAAAAAATCTGGATTTAGAAAATTCAGCTGTATAAAGGATGAAAAATTTATTTCATTCAGAGTATCATCCTTATTGTTGGAAGTAGGTGTGTACAACTTCATAAGAGGCTCTCTCTCTTTTTTGATAGTCCAGTTTCAGTTGCAACAATGATTTGTGATGAAAAGAATATGAATCTTCCTAGCTGCAAACTCTTGCACTGGTATCCTTACTGTTGTTCTCTACAGAAAGAAATCCAAGATGAATATGCTGCTAGACTGACTTAACATTAGGCCAGCTGCTCCCATGGTGCATATCAGTTGTAAGCTTGGGCAAATACAGAAATCTCTTAGTAAAGAAGACAAACTGGAACACAGAGAACACAAACAAGAGTAGGAGCAAAATTGTTTGTTGAGTCAAACTGAAATTTTTCTGGCAAAAATTAAACACTCAGGAAGAAAAAAATAGGCTTCACTTGAGTCAGTCCAAAATTGTAAGTGAGATATCAACACTGTTTTTGAAGAGAGGAAGCTTGTATGTCCTTGTTTGTTCCTTAAAATTATTTTTTTCAGACCGCAAGCCAGTGGTTTTAGACAAATTCATTAAAGCACTGAAATTAGGTTTTACGGTGTTTGGAAAATAAACATGTTTTTTTTTCTTTTTTTTTCTGTAACTTTACTGAATTCAGCAGCTCTCTACAAATAGTTTTCGGTGCTGCTAAATAATTGGTTTTGGTAAACATCTGGAGAAACATCCAGTTCTAACAAGGGACATTTGCTTTTCTGCTAAGGAGAAATACAAGTTTAAAACGTCAATGTGTTTAGGTTTGACATGATTGTCTTCTGAAGTGCCAAGGCAAACTGAAATGCCCTTCTACATTCTTACTGCCTTTTAGTTTGCTTATGACCACAGAAGTCACGCAGCCTGCCTACCCTTAACAGTGTACACAATGTGTTCTTCTGTGGGCCGTCATCAAGGCATGTACATCTTCTTTTGTGTGACTTGCTCTCTGAAAGAAAGTCTTTGTTTCTCTTCCATCTTTTCTTTTTGCCTGCTCATACATTTTTTTGGCATAGCACATCTACTTTCGGCTTCTAAACTGAGCTGTTTCACAGGTTAACCTTTCTTGGCTTTAGCACTCACTTGCAGAAGTGAAGATATTTGGTGATGGCCTCTGTTCCCCTTAGTGCCTGGCAGATTTGGTAAGTGCCCCCTCTTTTACCTACTTCAGAACCATGTGTTCACTGCCGATCCAATAATTAACTCCTTGTTTGCCTGTGAAGCCTGTTCACCCTGCGCTAAACCAAGTACGCCGCTGGGCCACTGTGCATTGATTGGTGTATTTGAATGAGAGAGAGATCTCTCTTAGGGCATTATTAGCAAGCACTTCCACAACTGTACAACTTTTTCTTCTCTGTACTAGCTCCTTGTCTGTCACCAGTTGTGAAAGCTGATGGCAGGCATCAGGATATGACTGCCTGCCTGCTGGCACTTAGGATATTTTTTTTTTTGATGAAGTAGAACCAAGTTTGTTGTGGATCCTAATTTGTTATTTGCAGCAAATTACATATCACCACTTTACATCTCTTTTTAAAGATCTGTTCATGATCACTCAGAATCAGCCTAGGCTACTTCACTCAGCCTAGGTGGAAAATGGCACTGCCAGTTAATTTTACTGGTCAGCTCTTAGAGTGGGACTGCAAGTATACCCTTAGTGTATTTTCACATGTAGCATAACAAGAAATCAGGACCATAATTACTGGGTGTCAGATAATAATAATCTTGCCCAGTTGGAAGATGCAGACCTGCTCTTAGTGTTAAAAGATATTTCTTAGGCTTCTCTTTCCTTGCGTGATTTTCATTTGGCATTTCAGTATCAGTACATCCCAAAGGTACTGCTTTATTTTAGAAATAGCTTTGTTCCTTGTGCTGCAGAGATTGTCTTGCCAGCCTGCAATGGACCCACATTCCACCACATGATTTTTTGATGTTGTTGACATGAAATTTACACTTGAGTATGTCAGGAAGCAATGAGGATAAAATATGAAGTTTGCAGCATGTGCAATGTTGTGAAGTAGAAAAAAAGATCACAGCTAAATATATTAATAACCAATAAAGTTTCATTGTCCTGGAAGATTCCAGCCTGAAAGAATATATTCTGTAGTCACTTGTCAGGGACTAATAGTAATAGCTTGCAGGCAACCAGTACTGATTTTTAAAAAATTATATGTATGTATTAGACTTCCACAACGTTAGATAGGATATAATTGCAAATATTAGAAATTAATGATCAGGTGGAAGGGAAACAGCATCTTTGGATTATTAGATTATTCAGAACACTGAAACTTCATAAAGCCTAGAGGATACAATGTTATGGAATAGCTTAAATAAAAGAAAAATCCTAAGGCTGATGCAGGTGATTTCAGGCAGGTCAATTTTACATTGATACTTAAAATGTGAGAAGAGGAGAAAATAAGCAAGCAGCCAGTATTGGATTTCTTGTTCTTAAAGGATTAAAGAAGGGTAACAAATGGTAGTCAGTGTAGCTTAATGGAAAGTATCTCTCATTCCGTTCGATACTGATCTTTAAAATTATCAATATAATCAGCCACACTTACAAAAGAAATTCTTACCGTTAGAGTGATGCTGTATAATTCGTTGTCTAAGAAATTTCAAAAATACAGCTGCCAAATTCCTCAAAATGGATAAAAGGGAAGTAACCAACTGATGTAAGCTTTGATGATTCCCACCTCACAGGCACAAAGCAGGGGGCGTTAATCACGAAATCTGAGTATTAATTTTTAGCCTGCATTATTTTAGCTTTTTATTAACAGGAAAAAATCTTAGAAGCCTATAATTACTTATAATGGATATTTGTAACACAAACAGTTCATTAAACAGAATCATGGGAAGATTTGTTTAAAGAAATATACAATGATGCTGGTAGTCATGTGCTAAGTGAGCACAATTGTTCACAGGTTTATGCACCAAATGATCCTGATGTGTGGTAGTGGGCATTTAGCTGTTGGTCCTCATCAATTTTTATTTTTTTTGAGCCATCTCCCCTGTGTCTTTCAAGTTCTTATGTCTTATCCATATAGTTTGGATAGAATTAACTAAGCTGCCAGTTAGGCCATTCTGCTGTTAAAAATTGATCAGGTTTTCTTTTGAAGTAGTCCAAAATGAAATGTTGTTCTTTTTGTCTAGTTCTGGACTGGGGTTATTTTCATTTGTGAGTTTAGGTAATTTTTTCATTAAAATATTAGGAAAACATTATTGAAAATGTTATTTTCATTTTCTGGCCACAATAAAAATAGATAGGATTTTTTCTTTTTCTAGTAATTGAATGTGTGGGAAACATGATCAACAATTTACTTGTTGTTTTGACCATCTTCTTAGTACCAGCAAAAGCAGGGAAACATTTTTGGTAATACAGTTCACATTGGTAATTATCTTATCAAAAGGTATTTTCCTAATCATTTCTTGTTAGATAAATGCCAACAGACCCTAGTCAAGACTAGATTAAAAGTCTCCTGTGTGACCTGGTAGCTGCCTCTGAGAAGCCCATTGGTTACCTATTACCTGAGGTATTTGGGAGTGTAGTGGGAATCAAGCTGAAGCTGGCAACATTTGGAAGGGCGGCTGCCTTACTTTTCTGAGCATGCAGTGCATGGTGATCTGAACGAGACTTTAGCTCTGCACCCTTCAGCTCTACTCCCCATGCCTAATCCTTCCTTTTAACCTGGGAATGATTTCTTAGGAGATGTAGCATCTACCTGGGAAATTTCCATCAGTGCCAGCCATGTGCTGGGTTTCTGTTTTTTGGGAAGATAGAAAATATCCCTCTTCCTAAGCACGTAAGTCAAACATCCTGTAATTGAAGCAATCTAAATAATATTCTGCCTCTGATATCCTGCTGCTTCAGTACACAATGACCCAGCCACCTAGTGGGGCTGAAGCTGCTTCTCCTTGGTGCTTGTCTCATGCTGGAGGTGGTGTGGAGGAGGGGAAGGAAGGTAGTTTAAACTGTTTTTTGTCTCTATTGGATCGCTGTCAGTAAGGGGAGGTGGAGGTAAAGAGCAGTGACCTGAGCACAGCAAATGTTGTTACCCTGTTGCATCATCATTATTTCATTTCTGAGGGGAAGTTAGAAGCAACAACAGCAATAAAAGCAGTGGTTTCTGCCTTGTCTTCCAGAGCAGCTTTAACAGGCGTCTCTACCATGACTCTGCACTGCTTGCAGTTTTTTCTCTTGCTTCTGCTTGGTTCATGGTGGCCAGACTCAGAGCAGCATGTGGCGGGAGCTGTGAAGGTCAGGGAGCACTATATAGCTGCACAGATCACAAGCTGGACCTACAAACCACAGCCTGAAGAAAAGTCCAGGTAACAAAGTACAGGATAAGAAGGATGAAGTTAGTCCTCCCTTGGGACTGAAAAGTGGTTTTTGTCTCTCATCTCTTGTGGAATTGCAGAGGCCAGGAGGACTTTGGAGTGCAATCTGTTGCTTTCAGGAAACTTGGTTGACATTAAACAGCATGATCTGAACTAGATCCAGTGACATATTAAAAGCTCCTTTTTATTTGCTGCATTAGTGGATAGAATTATTTTTATATTTTCAGAGCACTTCTGTTAAATAAGCTCCAGGACTTGCTTTTGTCATTTTTGAATAGCTTAATGTTGATTGCTTGGGGTTTTTTAATGTGTTTATTTTAGCTACATGAATGTTGAGCAATGTTAATTGAGCCATGGTTTGGTAAGCTCTCAAAAACTTTAGGACTTTAGAATTTGCTGAAGGAATAATTAAGTTCCAGTTTTGATGCTATCACTTTCACTTAAATCAGAGCCAGATGAACTTTGGAACTAGCTGTACCATTTCTGAGTTGTTCAGGACTTTTGTGAAATGTACATTCTGATGAGTAAAGGTAGTAAGATCAAGCATTACTCTGCTTCATTAAGTGAAAATACCGATTTTTTTTTTTTTTTTTTTTTTTGGATAGCATTGCACAGTGGCCAGCCTACCTGCATCCGCCAATCAAGAATATATAAAATACGTTATTTTTATTAGTACTACTGTCTTTAGGATTATAAACACTGCAAGTGCAATACTACAGATTTCAGAACTTGGATGTAATTTTGAGTTCTGTTTAAATTAGGGGGGAAAACTACTAAAAAATTAAACACTAAAACATTAAAATTAATTAAAAATTACTTGTCCTTCTACATTAAAAGTTGTTTTTGTACTGCTGCTTTTTTATATATAGGTGACTTCTTTTTCTTTTTTTTTTTAGTGATTTTTTTTTTCTAAACATATATTGAGTTTCAGGATAATATGGAAAAGATACTTTCAGTTCAGATTACTAATTTTTTTCCAAGCTCTAATTATAGCAAAGTTCCTGTGATTTTAAAACCCCCCAAAACCCCCTTGAAAGTTTACTAGAGCTGGTATAAGCATAATGTAAAACTGGCAAGACAGAGAAAAATAGGATTTCAAGGTAGGAATATGAAGCCAGCTGCCATTTAAGTATTGACATGGACATGTGGATTTACTAGTTAGAACTTCATTCTCTTCTACATTGGGTGCATCAATGTAAGAATCAACTGCTGTTTGGTTAAATTCACATTGTGAATGGAGTGTTTTCATGCAGTAGAGACTGTCAAAAGCCTCAGCTGAAGTTCTCTGAGATAAACCAGCAGTATTTTATACGCAATGTCTATTGGGTTACCTTGCCTAAGTATTTAGAGCAAGTCACATCCCAGATGGGTCTAATTAATTTTATAGAGCTTATAGAAATTTAACTAAAACCCAAAACAAACAAACAAGTAAACAAAACCCAACAAAACCACAAACTTTAAAAAAAAAAAGAAAAGAAAACAGAAAAACAAAAGACCTCACAACACAAATATACTCACTGAGGAAGAGTTAATGGCTTGATGGCTTGGATCCCGAAAGTACTGGGGTATGTGACTTGTGCTGATTTCAGCAGAAGCTGAATATCTATATGCAATGTAAGAATCTGATACTTTGGTGCTTTTGTTTATAAATAACTTAAGAGAGGCTGAAAGGAAAATGGATTCTTCCTGAGCTATTTCCTTAATTTTTACTAGAAAAGGACACTTTATTTCTCTTGAGTGTCATTTTTATCTTTGTAGAGGTTTGTTACTATGTACAAGTGCTATTTATTTATAAGGCACGTTAGCACAAAGTGAAAATGTATTATCTGTGCATCTTGTAGTGTTGCTGCTGCAATTCCTAAAAGTTCTGTGACTAGGCCTGCTTGTGTAGTGTGATATTTCTCAAGTGTTAGTGTCCTAGGTATTTTATTCCTCCTCGCTATACAATTGGCACTGATAAATTTCCTCTTCTACCCTACAGTCTTACGTGCATATTCTCTTGAACATTGCCACATTAGGGCAGCTCTTGTCAGTGAAGGTTGTGGATCTCATCCTTCCCCTTAAAGAGTTAAACAAAATTTTATCAATGACCTTAAGGAGGAGGGAATTAATTGAAGCACCAATTGCTTCTGCCTGACTCTGCTGTGGTGAGAGAAGGTTGCAGAGGAATTTACAAGGGATCTCTTCCAGAAGAGATCTCCTGCCTTATGGACTCTGGATGTCACTGAAGTGGGTTCTCTCTGCTCAGTCTCCCCATGCTTGAGCAGCCCATCAGCTCCTCACTATCAAATGTGCCTGAAAGGGCATTACAAAGAGAGCAAGTGGAATTGCTATTGGATTCAGTCATCATACATACTATAGTAAATCAACCAATAAATGTGAAGGGCTGTTACCCTTTCAGCCCTCTTGTCGTCATTATTTCCATTGCAGAAGTGTCGTTTGCTGGTTTCCTTCTGCTTGCCTAAATATTTTCTAAGAAAACATTGTGTGGTCTCCTGGGTGCCAAATTGTTTATGTAACAAGACTAAGGGTACTTTGCAGTGTTCTCATTTTCTAACTTGCTGTGACATCCTTGGTTGTTGTGAAAGAACAGCTTTGTGCTTGCCTTCAGAGTCATTCCTGTGACAGAAACTTGCTGTTAATGCTGTTTTAAAACCCTTCTAGTGAGTCTTAAAGTTCAAACATAGGGCTGAATAAATAGAAATTCAGGTTTCTTTCTCTCTATTTTGTCAGATGCTTTCTCGGTTAAGTATGGTTGAGACATCTTCCTCTGTGTCTTGGACAAAACAAAGGCATCTTTATGCCTTTGTAGAATCAAAAGGACCTATAAAAACAATCAGTAAAATCAGTGGTGAACTGTTCTAGGTATGGATATTGGATGCCCTATATGACATTATCTGGTTTGGGAACATCATAAATTCAATAGAGTAAGAGGGAGAAGTGAAGATACTACAAAGAGTTGGAATGTGTGTTTTGCCTTCAGCAAAATGTGCAAATGATTAAATATATTTCCAAGATTCATTTTTTTGAGTTTCCCATCAAACAGCAATGAGAATCTTTGTCCTTTCAATATTTTTTGTAACTCTTTTGGTTTCAGATTGGAACATTCAGATCCTGTATTTAAGAAAATTTCTTACAGAGAATATGAAGTGGATTTTAAAAAAGAAAAACCAGCAAATACATTTGCAGGTAAACAGGAATGAAATGTTCTGAGTATTTTGATTTATTCCTTATTTTAAAGCCAGTGGCAACCTAAGCACGCTTGTATTTTTGCATCCAGTATTTGCACATAAACCAAATAGGCACAGGGCATGAGGTCTCTACAGTGCAGGAACAAGTCTTCCAAAGATTATTAGAGAGGTTGGGCTTTCAGAGGATGTGGCTGTCTGCAAATCAGTTGCACCATACAAAGTCGTTCCCTTTGTTTTCAGCATCTGATGAGATTTACCACATGCATTTAGATTTGGCACAGCCGCAGCGATGACACTATGAATTCCTTGTGAAGGAGCCTAAATAATACAAAATAGTTTACCAAAAAAGAGACTAACAAGCCAAAAGTTGTCACCAGCTTTTTCATTTGCTTATTTGTGTAACATGGGGAGTAGGGATACAAGTTCTTGAAATCTTTTGCAGGAAATGCCTCAAGAAATTTGCAGTGTGGAAATGATTATTTACTTGGATAACATTTGGGAATTGAAAGATCTCTTTGTTCTGTGACTTCTGGCATTCAGAATGCTACTTAAAGTAATGTGTTTGAATGCCTTTCTTTAAACTCTTTAACTATAAAATGTTTATCTTCTAAAACTAATTAAATTGTAGGTGAAAGATGTCTAGAAATTTTCAATGAACCTCAGGATGAATCTTTTGATAGAGTTTCTATATCTGTAAATAACTTTTTTCCCCTTATTTTCCCGTGATTTTGAAGTACTAGTTGCCAGATGCAAAATTTATAACATTTTGGAATATGCACTATAGGCTTTAAGTTCCCATATGCCTTTTTATGGGTAAATCTCCACTGCAGTGTTATTACATTCTCTGTGTTAATTTTGGTATTTGTACTTTGAGAGCTAATATTTTCTGAGGGGGGAGAAAATTCTTTGTTTCACTGGACATACTGTTTTATTAATGTTTTCCTCTTTCTTTATCTTGAACAACTACAGGACTTCTGGGACCAACCCTGCGTGCTGAAGTGGGAGATACTTTAGTGGTTCACCTTAAAAATATGGCTGACAAGCCAGTCAGTATTCATCCTCAAGGCCTAGTTTACAGCAAAAATGAAGAAGGTAAATACTGTAGAAACTCCATGTTTTGCTGATTTGCTTGTAGACTACGGCATGAAATGTTGACAGGGATCCAGATCAATGTGTGAAGCTATGTGTAACACAAATATGTGTTGATCCTGGATTACACCTTCACCTCCCTTGTTAGCTCCTTTCTTGTTCATCAGTGTAACACTGACGACTGTGAATGTCATGAGCACAGTTTCCTAACAGTGCTGATCATGCTGTTCTGATACTCAGCATTTAATGCTCAGCTTCATGGTGCTTTGCTCCACACACTTATGAGACCAGCAAAAAGAGATTATGAACTCTGACCAAATGGACAGTAAAATATCTGTCCCAGCACAAAGTGAGTTTGGTTGCTCATGCTTCCTGCATTGCCCTGCCCTGGGTGCTTAGCCAGAGCTTTGGCCTGCAGTTTAGAAATTCATGCAAGGCCTTAGTTGTTGTGTGGGTGCAAAAGAAGTTTTGCAGCTCCATCTCATGGAGTTGAACAGAACATCTCGTTGGAAGGGATGGGCAGTTCAGTTTGACTGTCAAATTAATTAATGTGCCTTTTGCACTTCAGATTTCAATTCTCTGTCTCCCCTTTGTCATATTGCAGATCTGTTGGATATGGCAGGCACAGACACAAGCCATTACTGCTTCCATATGTGGATGTGCAGTATACAAAAGGCCTAAGGCAGCAAGGCAGTGCCAGCCCATGCAGTGGCTTTGAGAGACAATTAGAAAGGTGACAGAGTCAGGAGCATTCCTCTGCAGAGCATTTGTGAGCAGAGGCTGAAGCTTCATCCCGTCCCAACCCTAGTCAGACTGATCAAGAGCCCAACCTTTTGGCAGCGATGATACTTCTAGGAAATATTTAATCTCTAAGAAACAGGATGGTGGTGGATTAGCTACTCTCCCCATGCTACTCTCAGCAATGTGTGAGTGGAATCATGAGTTATCTCTTTGAAGCTGAAGTATCATATAAGCAAGATCAAACCAAGCTTTTGGAGCTGCTTGTAGGAAGATATTCCAAGCATTTTGATTGCTCTTTTTCTTCATGCCACCCTACTGACTCTTTTCTTGGCAGGCTCCCTGTATGATGACAGAACATCACCTGCAGAAAAACGAGATGATGCTGTACTTCCAGGCCAGCTCTACACATATGTGTGGGATATACCAGAAGAAGTTGGTCCAAGAGAAGCTGACCTTCCTTGTCTTACTTATGCTTATTATTCTCATGAGAACATGGCAATGGATTTTAACTCTGGTCTGATTGGAGCATTGCTGATCTGTAAGAAAGGTAATGAAATGCTGTAAGACTACTATAAGATAATATATTTTCATTTCTAACGAAGAGGATGATGTATGATAATGAGAGAAGATATTTTCTTTTTCGCATCTTTACATGCAGTGTAAAACGAATGTTTTTTTAACATCATTCTTTTAGATGTTAGAGTTTTTAAATGCCAGCTTTCATGCAGTTCCATCCTATAATTATAGGATGGGCAGAAAACATTAATATGTAGATGCATTTGCCTGCACTGGTTGCATCTGCAGTTGCTTAACTGCTAAATATATGACCTCAAACTTCTAAGAATAAATATTTTCTAAAACTTCATTCAAAATGGTTTGCCCATTTCAGAGAATAAGGCAGGAAATAATTGTTTTACCCATTGTTTTTCACAGGCCGTCTGATCGAGAGCCTGGAACACTCTCTCTTCTGTAACATGGCTTTAAAATTGCAGAGCAGTCTGTCTTTTGCTAGTAATTTGAAGATATGGCCAAATTTGAACAGATTTTAAGTCTTAAAATTGTTTTTGCCTGTGATCAGAGACTTTAGATTTTAGCAGTCTGAACCATTGAATTCCATCTCCACTAATAACTGGTGTCTTGTAGCACTTGTAAACAGCTGCTAGATCTGTCTCCCTGGTTTGAGGGATGACTGAAACAGCATGCCACTGTGTAAAGTACTTAAACTACTTAGTGGTCCCTTAAATCCAAGGTTTTTTCCAAATTATATATCCTTGTGGTGAATGTGCTGTGAGTTATGTAGCCTGATTTAGTTTGAGTCAAAAATTTGTGTAGACTAAACTGCATGGACTTGGACCTCAAAGCTTCCCTGAAAGTAAACAGAACACTGGTTCAGTGTGGGTTGCACAAGGACAGTCTCCTCACCCATAGATACCCATTTTAATGCAGAACACATCTACTCTTATCACCTCAAAGGAATTGCATTAGTATTAATTACGTTCCTCTTGAATTTTTTTGATGATTGGTGCTTTTAGTATTATTTAGGACTTGTTGTTTTCCTGATTTTCCTGGATTTTCTTTCTCTGGGTTTCTGTGTATTATGGATATTTTATGGCATACTAGTTGAGCTAATCTGGGCCAATACTTTGAAACTACTTCCTTCTCAGACTTCTCAAATCCATGCATTTTGGGCTTGAGTAGAACATGAATTTGAGATGGACTGGTGTGACCACTGCCTTCAAGAAAATTCGGGTGTATGTTTCTGGCTAAAACAAACAGCTCACTATGCATATTTTTAAGATTTCTGAACACAGATTTTTGACTGTCAGCTGTGTCTGGTAAATGTGCAATGTACCTGTGTATTTGGTCTGCCTGGCATGGAGTTTACTTTCTTTACAGCAGCTCATATGGTGCTGTGTTTTGGATTTGTGGCTTAATAGCATCAATAATACACTCACCCATGTTTGAGCTGTTGCTGAACAGTACTTACTTGCACAGTGTCAAAGCTTTCTCTTTTTCCTGCTCAGACCTCCCCAAATGGTGGGCTGGGGATGGACAAGAGGTTGGGAGGAGACCAGTCTGGACAGATGAAACAGATTGGCCAAAGGGTTATTTTCTACCATTAACATCATTCTGCAATAAAAAATGGAGGCAGAGGAGGAAGAAACAGTGTGGGGACAATGAGGGGTGTTTACTTCCAAGGTGACAGTTTTTGAGAGACAGACTGGGCATCAGTCAGCTTGTGGGAGATGAGTGATTTTTTTCTGTGTTGCTTGTTGTTTTCCCCTCTTTCCTTCACCTTTGAACCGTCTCTATTGATCCATGAGTTTTCTCATTTTTGTTCCTCCTGTTCTCTCTCCTGTCCCGTTGGGGATGGGAAGGCATTGAAGTGGGTGTTTGGCTGCTGGTTAGGGTCAGCTCTCCACAATCTGACACATTTAAGAGGTGGTTAAGGTTATAAAAAAGTGGACTTTTGAGTTAAAGCACTGCCTGAATGTTCTTTGTGTGGCAAGTAGATAAATTCCTCTGTTGATCTGAGGCTTTCTTTGTGAAGAAAACCAGAACTTTGTATCTCCCCATAAATAAAAAAATTATATTAATGATAATTTCTTCCACTGCCTCTTTTCCTAGGTAGAATAATCAATAAGTCTGCAAAATCTTCGTTCTTGCAACCCAGAGGGACCAGATTATGTTTTGAAAGTAGCAAGTGGAAGTTTTTGGTGTGAGTGATCAACAGAAAGCAAGTGGAAGTTTTTGGTGTGAGCGATCTACAGATCCACACCAGTTCTGTGTGGCATGTCCAGAATGAATTCTATTTCTTGACAGAAATTACATCTGTATCACAAAATCACCCAGGACAGTTTCTTGTAACTGATCCAGTGCAGCAGTGTCTGTTGAAGTCTTTTGTGTGTAAATGTTATTTTCTGAGTGGTTGGCTTTAAACTTTTTAAAGGTGCTGATGACCTCAGTGCTTGAAAAGGTGCTGTTCACACTGCTGGTGACTCTGCCATTGCTCTTCTCCTTGCCTCACAGTCTGAAAAGAGAGGGCAGCACCTGATTGTGAACTAAAGGTGTTTGACACTCCCCTTCTTTAAGCTGATCTCTGCAACACATTGCCAAAAATTGACTGAGACAATTCATTGCATGATGTTTATCTTCTCTGGAACTCTTCAGACTTTTGATTTTGTGGTTACCCAATCCAAAAGTACTTCCAGAAATAAAATCACATTATGAGCATTCTTAAGGCTTTGTTTCGATCAGGCTCGGCCAGTACATACTAACAGGTGAAACAAGCTCATTAAATATATATTAATGCAACTGCATGTGAAATCTGCTTTATTTCTGCTTCATATTAAGACCTGTTGTTTCTCCTTCACAGGAAGTCTAAATGAGGATGGGTCACAGAAACATTTTGACAGGGAATATGTACTGTTGTTTGGTGTGTTTGATGAGAACAAGAGTTGGCAAACATCAGCATCAGTCAAGTATACAGTTAATGGCTATACTGATGGAACATTACCAGGTACTGTTTCGGCTTATGTGAAATGGAATTAACATTTATGAACACTGAATATCACCTTTAGTTGCTTTTTATGGACAAGAATGGGACATGTGGAGAAATGGGGTACAGCCTTTTTTAGAATATGTCTGTGAGCATCTAAATTCTGGAAGAAAAACTATGCTGCTGAAAGGAAGTAACACCAGATTACTGATAGGAACAATGAGATTACTTCTAAGAAGACTTCTGCTTGAAGAAAAGGATTACTAACTTAAAAAGAAAAAAGAGTTTTAATAAGCTCCTCATTTTTTTATAACGACCTGATGGTGAGAGAGTGATTTAAGTGAATTGTTGGTTCTACATAATATAGAAAATACTGGGTGCAAAACTTCCTGCAAGTGGAAAGACAGTTATCATTAAAAGACACAATTAAGTGAGAAGACTAGGAAGATGGTAGTGGGGCTTTTCTGTTGTTTTCCTAAGAAAAAAACTTTAATATCTCTCTCCTATCCATTGAGCAAATACAAAAGGTTGTCTTAAGTGGGGATTTTTTTCAGGAAATATTGAGGAGGGTAGTTACTGTCACTAAGTATCACATCAGTCTTTTGCTTAGATCTTTGCTTTGTTCTTTGCATTCCCTGCCCTGTTTTCCCCTCACTCCCCAAGCAAGGACAGGTCAGCTTTCCAAAAGAAGGCACTGGTTTTTTTCCCCATTTTTTGCCAGCTTGTTGTAAGTCAGTTTGTCACTTGCAGGTAAGATTTAAACATTTGTCTGCCACTGACAGATGATTTTGCTATCTGTTCCACTTACATGCTTCTGAAACTTCCTCTTGTTGCAAACATTGATCGCAGCAATATTTTTTTTAATGTTTTCGGTGAAGACTCACTTCAAATCTAGGGTGCATGGGGAGCTTCATGATTTGCCTGTATTCTGAACCCTATCTCATGTCTCTTTCAGATTTAGAGGCTTGTGCGTATGACAACATTAGCTGGCACTTGATAGGAATGAGTTCCAAGCCAGAAATCTTCTCTATTCACATCAATGGCCAGTCCATGGAGCAAAAACATCGCCGAGTTTCTGCTGTTAATTTGGTGGGAGGAGCCACAACCACCGTAAACATGACAGTGACTGAGGAAGGAAAGTGGCTCATATCTTCTCTTGTCCAAAAGCACCTTCAAGGCAAGGAAACATCTAGTTATTAGGCATCTGTAAAGCTGTATTTCTCTATGTCCCAAATGGCTTCTGCTGTTTTACAGTGGTACAGTTAATCTGTTTCAGGTGATTTTGTCATTTCACTAAGAAACTGACCAAGAACCAGACATTCTGTTGGAAGTGCATGGTGAACTGAAAGATGTTCTTACCTGCAGCTTTACTGCAGTCTCCACAGCACAGAGCAACAGTGATTCAATACTCCAGCATCTAAGTCTCTGTGAACTGTTCAGATAACCATCACTATAAAATTAGTGAGAAGCCACCTGTTTCCTGAGAAACTGAGTACTTTCAGCTAAGGGTACTTCAATGTGATGAAAATGTTTTCTGTTTGCCATTTGAAAGTGGTATCTTTCAGCAATGATCAGAATTCTGTTTTAAAGAATGAGAAAAATATCTCTCTTATAGGAGCTGGAGATATCTTTTGGGGGATAAAAAACAGCTGAAGTGGTAAGAGTTCCTCAGATGGGAAATCACTATGGTCCTGTTTCCTCTCAATTAGCTGGAATGCACGGTTACCTCACTGTAAGGGACTGTGGGGACAAAGAGGTGAAGAAAAGTCGTCTCTCCTATAGAGAACGTCTTATGGTCAAAACCTGGGACTATTTCATTGCTGCAGAAGAAGTTACCTGGGATTATGCCCCAAGTATTCCAGACACCCTTGACAGGTAAAATACTAGTTTGTCAGTGTAATAGGGAACGCTAACATGAAATCACAGGATAATTGTGGTTGGAAAGAACCTCTTTGGTATCCAACAGCAAGGCTGGATCCAGTTGCACTGGACCTTATGCGGTTGCATTTTTATTGTTTCCAAGTACAGGAACCCCTAAGCTTCTCTTGGCATCTTTGCAACTTCACAGTGAAAAAATTTTTCCTTATAGCTAAATGTTCTTCATGTTGCACCTTGTGGCCATTGTGTCTCATCTCTTCATCATGCAGCTTTGAGAAGCATGTGATCCTGCTTTCTCTATAATGTCAGTTTGATAGTTGAGGTTAAATAGAAGATGCTCCCTTAGCTATGCCTTTGCCTGACTGAAGAAACCGGAATTTTGCTTCTGTGCCAAGTGCTCTGGCTCCTTGATCACCATGGTGGCCCTTCACTGGACTCTCACCAGTGTCAGTGACTTTCTTTGCTGAGAAGCCCAACAGTAGACACCTTCTTTTCCCTCTCACAGGGAGCCCAAAATAACAAGATGACTGAGGAATTGTCCAAAGTAGCATACAAGCTTATTTTCTAAAATACTTTTCAGCATCAATTCTGCTGAAATAAGCAATCCTTAAAAGGAAGAGAAAGGGAGGAAGGGAATATTTCTGGAGATTAAAAGTTTTTAAAAGTTCAGTACAATAAAGTGTTTAGTGAACAGGAGAAAGCTCTTTATAAATGATGTCTGCATAGTACCAATGTAGATGGAGTGCAAGTCATAATAAATAAGCCTATTGGGCTATTTTGCTCAACTTAAGACAAATAGAAGGAATTCTGTAACATACATGATGTCTAGTATACAGTGCTATCAGTGCACTGTGGGGTTAAATTTGCAATTCCCCAGTGCTATTTGTGCCTTTACGAGCCTTTACAAGCTGATATTCATAAGAATCTTTAAGGATTTAAGCAGAACAAAACAAATTCCGTATTCTGTAAGGGTTATAGTTTCATATGCCTCCTTAGAAATACAGTGTTTGCACAACTCATTCTCCTTTGGCATTTGTTTCCCTTATGTGCTCTTGAACTGCACAGAACAAACTTTTATATCTTTCCTGCCAGTCACACTGCCTTACTTAATAATCTCAGTGCTCTGATTGTTCCTTCTCTGTTCAGAACTTCAGAGTTTATCGCTTTTCAGTAACCTTTTTTCAAGTGTGAGTGACAGCAAAAAAAAGTTCGAAACCTCAGTATAACACTAGTTACTGTATAGTGCCTGACTGGGATTAAGATTGTGTTCCTATTTCTCCTGGAGTCTTTGCTACTGTGAGCAAATTGGGGTTTTTTTCCTCCATGCTCAACTAGGCCTTTGAAAAAGGAGAACAGTGATTTCTGTCTTGCCTTGAAAGTGTACCTGCTGCTTCAGTTTGTTTCATACTTGTATGTACACTGTTAAATTAAATGTAAACTATGATATTAATTGGTCATATGTAATACCAAAAACACAAGTAATGATTGAAGATTCTTCTTACCTAATTTAGGTTAAAATTTGGGGTGAAAAGCATTAGGTTAGTTTAGGGTTTGGATTTTTTTTTCAAGCAGTGAGATTTCTACCAGTTGCTTGAATACTAATTTTGTGTTTTAACAGATGCTACTCTTCAAGTTTTGTTGATAATTTTTCTTTTACTTTATTTTTAAGACACTATAAATCACAACACTTGGACAACTTCTCCAATCTCATAGGTAAAAGGTATAAAAAGGCTATTTTTACACAATATACTGATGCCACTTTCACTAAACGTCTGGAAAATCCTCGTCCCAAGGAAACTGGAATCTTGGGCCCTATTATCAGAGCTCAAATCAATGATAAAGTCAGAGTAAGTAACACAAATACAGGATCATATAGCATGCTTTTCATTGAGGCAGAGATACAAAAGAATCAGTTTGATTTTTGTTGTCTTTCAAATAATATAGCTAACGTTCTAAATATTGGCTCTCTTAAAAGGTGTGATCACAAGTAACAGTGTTTAGCTTGCATTTTTCAGTGTTCTTTCTATAGTTTCCATGATTGTGCTTTATTTTACTACATAAACATGCTTCAGTCACACTCTGTAAAATATATGTTGACACTGGTCCAAAATGGGAAAAAGCCCTAGACCTGGGTGGACTTCTGAGGGGATTTGTATGTGAGGCTGAACTTCATGAGCCTCTTGTTTCTTATGCTGATATTTTTTTCTGGCTGTTTTATACAAAGGTAATCAGTTTCCATAATCAAATGTTATTTCATGAGGTTATACCATGAAACTACAAAATATTTGCATTACAAGCTTGTGCTGCCACAACATCCCCTTGTCTTACTGTTGTCATTTAATGATCACAAGTTCGATCACAAAGTTCCATAACCTTTAGCTTCTATCATTTCCACCATGACTCTGTGGTTCTGAATTTGAGCTTAGCATGTTCCTTTTTTCCTTTTCTCTTTTTCTTTTTTTTTTTTTTTTTTAATCCTGATTTTGTCAAGAATAGGCAGGAAATTTTGCCTTTTCCGTATGTAACCCCTCTGGGAATTAGAATCTGGGACAAGCTTTGGTTTTAATTTTTTTTTCTCCGATAATGAAGGTTTTTAAGAACTTCAGTCAGTAACTTCATATTTCCAGAGATAGTGTGTGCCTAGTAGCTAGAAGAACAAGTGTTCTTTTTAGACATTCCAGAGCCCAGCTGTAAGCAGCTGGACTTCACTCAGTGGGGTCTACAAAGTCCAGCATTTATTCTTTGGGTTTATATATCAACCAATACTTAAGACACCCTTTTGCCTTTGACACTTTCTGGGTTAAAGCCAGGCAAATTCTACTGTAGTGATAACTTCATTGTGTATTCAGACAAGGATTTGTTGAATCCTAATTGTTTTTTTCATTTACCTATTAATATAGATTGTATTCAAAAATAAGGCCAGTCGACCCTACAGTATTTATTTCCATGGAGTGACACTTGCAAAGAATGCAGAAGGAGCTGATTATCCTCTGGATCCCACAAGTAAAAAATTTGTGAAATATGTTTTTGCATATCACTAACTGTTATGGATGGTTTTGTTGCTTTGAAGGAGGTGCTGTGGCTGGGAATGTGCATGACTGGGAGACCTCAGTTCTGTGCTCTGCCTCTGCTTACCTGTTGTGTTGCCTTATAGAGAAACCAAGGTATTATCTGCAAAGCAGAGACAAATACCCGCTATGTGTTGTATTCGTTTTATGTTCCTGTTTGTGATTTTAGAGAGACAAAAATTCTTGCTGAATTTCAGTTATTTCAAGGTAGCTTTTAATGGCCAAACTACACCAATGTCATTAGAAGGTGCAGCTTGATCCTAAGATCTGTCTCTGAATTTGTATCATTACTGTTCTTGTTTTTCCTTAGGCAATGGCACCCAGAGTAGAGGAGTTGAACCAGGGAACATGTACACTTATGAATGGAAAATTACTAAAACAGATCAACCCACTGCAAAGGATGCACAATGTATTACAAGGCTGTATCACAGTGCTGTAAATATTGAGAGAGATATAGCCTCTGGACTGATTGGCCCACTTCTGATTTGTAAAAGTGAAGCACTGACGCAAAAGGGTGTGCAGGTAACTTGTTTGGACAGATTTTGCTCGAATAATGCTATTTATTCTACACTGAATTTAGTTTTACTTCCCTTAGAGAACTGTTCTGTGGAGAGCAGTTAAACCAATAGGCTCCTGAAGAAACAGTCCTGTAACTGTCCACAGCAGTAAAGGAATTATGTTCTGTGTTTCTTAGCAAGCGCTAAGAAAGGTCAACAAAAGGTCAGCCTGACTTTAAAGTCTATTTCTAGACTTGATAATTAATTTTCCTGCTGTTATTATATTTTCATACTCTGAAGATATTAATATCTGACCTTCTGGTTCCTTTCTGTAACAGAGACAACTCCACAGCATCTGACAATCTCAGGCACAATGAATCTAGAACAACCAAAACAGCATAGGAGTTCTGGGAGAGGGCTTCCCTTTACCAGTTATTGAAATCTTGCTTGGCAAAGACTAAAGCATCACTTGAGAGAAAAAAATGTCAGAAGCTTTGTCAGGTCAAACCAGAAGTCTGGTTCTGTTACAGAGAGGCCAGTCATAAACCACCTGTGTATCACCAGCGCTAGAGGCTTGCTCAGTGTTTCACTGCAGGTTGGTTGCAGTAGTAGGATTGAAGTCTGGAGCCTCTACTCCCTTCCACATAACCTATGGATAACACTTACCAGGACTCTGATGAAGCTTATGTTGCTTACATTGTAGGATTGAATTCTTAATATGTGTGTCTGCTGATAAAATGTAACTGCTGTGTTGATTGTCTTTCAGAAAAAGGCAGATGAGGAGCAGCAGGCAGTGTTTGCTGTCTTCGATGAAAATAAGAGCTGGTACCTAGAGGATAACATCAAGGAGTACTGCAGCAACCCAGCCACTGTTAAAAGGGATGATCCCAAGTTCTATAACTCAAACATAATGCACAGTGAGTGGAATACTGAGATGAATAATAGCTGAGCACTCAGTGTTTGCTTGTTCTCGGAAGTACATGTGATTGGGGAATCCTCCAGAGAGTCAGTGAAATTCTAACTCTGCCAGGTGGCACTGGACAGAAGTAGGAAATATCATAAAATTAGAAAGGTTGGAAAAGACCTCCAAGATCAAGTCCAGCCTCTCACCTAATACCAGCATGCCCACTAAAACATATTGCTGAGTGCCGTGTTCACTTGTTTTTTGAACACTCCCAGAGATGATGACTCTGCCACTTCCTTTGGGGGCCTGTTATAATAGTTATACACTCAAGTGAAGAAATTTTTCCTGATATCCAACCTGAACCTCTCCTGGTGCAGCTTGAGGCCATTTCCCCTTGTTTTATTGCTAGCTGCCAGGGGGAAAAGGCCTACCCACACCTTGCCACTAGTAGCTAGGCTGGATCTGGACCCTGAAGCAAAGACAAGGGTTAACTAAATTTTGATGCAGCACCCTGCTGCCTTAGAGATAATATTTTCAGAGATGGAAATTACCATGGTTTCAGCCCTGTGCCAGTCTCTTTCCAGTGCAAACATGAATCCAGTGCACTGACATCAAAGAACAGGAAGTTTTAAAACAAAAATACTGAAACCACTTTTTCTTTGCTTTCCTTTTAGCAATAAATGGCTATGTGTCTGACAGCAGTGAAATCCTTGGATTTTGCCGAGATACTGTGGTTCAGTGGCACTTTTTCAGTGTTGGCACACATGATGAGATTGTCTCTGTTCGCCTTGCTGGACATTTTTTTCTGTATCAAGGGAAATACGAGGATACATTGAGCCTTTTCCCAATGAGCGGAGAATCTGTTACAGTGGAAATGGACAATGGTGGTAAGTGATGGAACTGTAGTGTTTGACAGCTCTTCTAAGACATTATTTAATCTCCAGTCTGTAAGGGCTCATCTAAATAGGAGAGAAAACTCTTATGGTAAACACAGTGCTAGAAAACATTGAATCATTCACTAGTGCAAGTGATGGCTACACCAACTTAGCATAACTGTGTGCTGTACTGAGGTTCTTTTAGTTGGTCATCTTTGATTTGTCTTTTTTTCACTTCACAATTAATACTGGGGTTAGTAATGATAATTTTAAGGCAAGATTCTTCTTAGAAACAGGTATGAGCTCCATTGTATGATTTCCAGGTTTGCCACATTCTTGTTTATTCTGAGCAGTCTAAAATGGGCTGAAACTGCCAAGTTCAGCTGGTAATTACTGGGCAAAATGGCCACACTTGACCTTAGGCTTGAGGTCATTCAGCAGCAGTAAAGTCTGCCTGCCTGAACTGAGTCACTGGTCTGTGGGATGCATCTCAATGTCTGGAATTAACACCATGTCTTGGAAGAGGGGACATCAGAACCCATGTAGTCTACATTTAAGGCATTACTTACAAAAGGGCAGATTCTTTGTCATCGAAGTCTGTGCATTTTGAGTGATAATTCTAACACCCTTCAAGGTTTAAGTATCCGTATTGCATTTAAAATATCTTATTTTTAAAAATATATATATTTTATGTATTGCACAGCATCAAGACCTTATAGCTTAAAAATGTTAAAGTGGCCTGTGTTGCTCAAGACTAGAGAATCATTAGAACTCTATTAGACTTTATGGAAACCTCCCCAGTAATAAAGTTGTATTTTTACTTGATTTTGGTATGCAATCTATTCTTTCCATCTAGGGCATATTTTCTTTGATAAATTTGCTGTTAGAAATCAGGAAAGCTGTGCAGGTCACTTGAAGCTGATCAATACAGGAAGAATTGTATCTGACCTTTTTACCTGTTTCTCAGGGTGTTAATTCTGTCTATTCTGTCATTTCTACTAGTTCCAAAAGCAAGGTGTAACAAGCAAAGAACTTGATTTGATGTTGTTTAGAGAAACAGATTTTATTTTATTCTCTGAAGATTCTAGTTTCCAATAGAGAACTTACCTTGTGATGAGGTTTTGGAGGAGTTATTAAAACCTGTAAATTAATCTGAGATGCCTCAGATTGGCAGCTTAATGGCTTGTGTCAGATTGGAAATTCAAATTGCTTTATTCTTATTTTACTTATTAAAGATCATCCATGATTCATCCAAAAACTTTTAAAATACTGTGTTTGTCAGTTGTTTGCCAGCATTGCCTCAGGATGCATTTGCTCTGCTCAGAATGTTCTATCCAGTAGCAGTGCATGCACCAGGAAGGACAGGATAAAATTGAAAATTTATCTTGAGAGGCCTCACCCTTAGATCCAGATCTAAACATAGGATCCTTTAATTTGTTTCTTTTTCATATCCATCTCTTTCATGGGTTATTTTTGGATTCAGGTTCCAGTTACAGCTTAATCTATGGAAAAGAGTTCCATCTCCTAGAGGTATTTATATGTGCTCTTATTTGTCTACATTTAATAATTATTTTTCATTGCAGTGAGAGCTCATTAATATCCCAGATAAAGATTAGCAGTCTGCTATAGCAGGTGCTGTAGAAGAAGCACCAACTGTTTGCCTTGGCCACTTACATGACAAACAATGTCCAATCTCATAACACTTTTACTTCAATTGCAGGTACTTGGCTTTTGGCATCCTGGGGCACCCCAGAAATGAGTTACGGCATGAGGCTGAGATTCAGGGATGCGAAATGTGACTATGAGGAAGATGAAACATTTGATTTTGTGGCTTTAAGTCCCACCAAGACTGAAAGAAAGGCTGTTACTACCTCAGCTGAGGAAGTTGTGCAGGAAAATGAAGAAAACAAGGAGGAAACAGATTACCAAGATTATCTGGCTTCTTTTTACTCCATCCGAGGCTCAAGAAAGGCAGCAGGTGATGAAGAAAAACAGAATCTTACAGCACTGGCCTGGGAGCAGTATGAAGACACTGATGCCACGAGTTCTGAGGTGGCAGCTGGCTCAGGTTGGACAGCTATAAATAGCAGTGGAACAACAAACAAGTCTAAGTTCTTAGAAACTCATATCACTCCTCTTCCCCCAGTCAAGGCTGAAACATTCCAGTCAAATCACACATCAGTCACAGCAGAAAAGGATTTATTTTTAGCTTCCACAAGTGATGGAGAAGCTGACTTGGTATTTGATAATAGAAGCCAAAGCAACTATGAAATAGCTCACAATAACATGTCTGCAGGTGAACACTTGCTGAGCAATGGGGAAGGCCCAGTGAATGTTGCAGAAGAGCTTCCAGCTAGTGGAAAGGACAGTAAACCTTTTCCAGAAAAACATCAAGAGCAAAGCACAGGAAGAGGAAATTATACCACTAACAAGAAAAGGAAAAGGCGAAGCTCACTGGCCATTAAGTTTTACTCTCTCCAAAAGATGAATGCCCTTCTAAATCATATCCGAAATAAAAATGTCTCTTGTTCTGACAAGGCTGATGCACCTCATTCTGTGCATCATACAGAGAACACATCCAATGAAGCCATGATGGGAACTGGCCAACTGCCAAATGAATATTATGATGATCTGGAAGAGGAGGGAAAGAAGATGGAAAATGCCACGCACACAGTTAACTTGACACTGGATTTGGACCTCATAGTAGGAGATGGGTCCAATGCATCCAGCCTTTCTGAACCCAGGATATCCAAAGATAAACCAGCAGATGTTTTTTCTTTAGAATACATGTTAGACAATACAAGCCCTAATTCCAGCCCTGCTGTAGTAAAGAACTTAGTAGAAACATCATTGCCCGGGGCTGGGAAATATTCATCTAAAATGACTAGTGAGGAATGGAATTTGGTGTCTGCAAAGATAATTCCAGGATTAGAGGCAAGCTTAGATAAATCTGCTGGTGGTAAGTTAAATCATCATGGCAGAAATGGTACAGCATCCATAAATAAGGAGGATATGAAGAAGTATCAAAGGTTCTCACATCTAATGGGGGAAAACCAGAAAGGGAGCCACATTCACCTAACTCAGAAGGGAAAGGAGGGAAACAACAATACCTTGACTTTCATCAAGATCCGAAGGAGAAAGAAGGAAGACGCAAAAATTACCTACTTGCTAAGCCCACGGAGTAGAAACCCCAAAAAGCCCAGCAATTCCACGGCAGGGTTTGGCCGTGCGTTGTTTCTGGGTGGGACCAACCACACAGCAGCGCCGTGTCGCACAGTTGCCACCAAGGCAGGCAGTGAGGTCAGCCAGAGGGTGGATGAGAGCAGAGCCAGGCACGGAGAGTCTCTGGGTGACACCCTTACCCCGCGGCAGTTCAGGCCATCCATCACAATCGGGCTTCCCCGAGCAGACGGAGACTACGAATATGTGACAGGAGAATCCTACAATGATGAGAGCTCGGGTGGGGAATACGAGTACCATTATGTGAGCTTTGATGACCCCTACATGACAGACCCCAAGGTGAACATCAGCAGGCAGCGTAACCCCGATGACATTGCTGAGCACTACCTGCGCAGCAGAGGCAATAAGAGGAGATACTACATTGCAGCTAAAGAGGTCTGCTGGAACTATGCAGGATATAAGAAAAGGTTTGCCTAAATAGTTTGCTTTCACTTGGCACACCATCCTGAAATCTCCTTGCAGAGTGTTGATTCACATGCTGATAAACTCAAAAGCATCTGTAATGTGCCATCTGATTTCTGACATTTCAGTGGCAGAACCATAAGGAATTTCCACGGGAGACTCGCCCCCCTTAGAAATGTCAGAGTGAGATTACTATAATTGAGCACAACACAGTTAAGAACTCTTTTTTCTTTTTAACCCTCTTTTGTAGACTCACTAGTAACAGTCTTTAATACATCATTTATAAAACTCACTGTGAGAGGTCAAGAGGGAATCTTGCAGCTTGTTTTCTTGTACTTGAATGTTTTACTTTGCGCTTCAGTTCTTGGTACATGTACACAGGACAGAGACCTCCTTGTGCAAAGTCTTTCCAGGAATTTAATGGACTAACTGATGGAATCTAGAATGGGATGTGCTTATAGGCAGATGAAATCAGTTTCTAGCACTAGCAGGGAATAGTTCTGGTGTCTCAGTTCTCTGTTGGAAAATGGGATAACAGCACTTTCCAACTTCACAAGGCTGCAGTATTAAAAAGTATATGAAAGCTGCAAGGTGTTTAACCACACTGGTGACTGCCTTATATTAAGAGTAAAAACAAAGCTGCTCCTGCTGTTTAGAGAAATCAGAAGGTGACTGGATGACAAATCCTAATGCTGGGGGATTTTCTTACATTTTGACAGGCAAGACTGGCTACTGTGCCACAGCAAAGAATATGTGAGAATATACTGAGAGAAACACTGTACTAAAAATTCACTCTCTTAATTGATACAGGTTAGGATCAGTGTTCACCCAAAAAGGCATAGAATTCCTTGTCACTTTTTATCAAAAAGCTGAACCAAAACTTGCATAACTTTGGATTTTTATCAAAGCAGCCAAAACAGGAGCAAGAATATTTTCGTTATGCAAAATGAATCTTCAAACATAGATTATTTCTCAAACTGAATTTCCATTTCATTTGATGAAAATAAAAATAAAACTTTTTCAGTATTCTCCGGGTTTACTCCTGCCTCATCTCAGTCCATATAAATGGCACTTGCAAAAATAGCAGAAACAAGACAGTTTCTTTGGGCACTTGCAAAATCAAGAATTTTTTTATACTTAGACCTCTATATAGGTCTCTCCAGAGGTGTTCATTCTCATCTGGTGTGAGCTGAATAGTTCCAGTGAATTTAAGAGAGCCCATGGCATATCCTCTCTCAGTGTGTTGAAGAGCTAAAACCCAGCCTTTCACCTATGTAATTTACATTAAATTTCTGTTTTTTGCAGAATTGATAATAAAGCAAGATTTGTAGGTAATTATAGTAGCATTTCAGCGCTTCTATTTAAGATCTGAACAACAGTTTGAAGATGTAAAAGTTTATTTTACCACACCAGCTCTGTGATGCAAAATGCAAATATTATCAGATGTAAAGATTTGAGAGACAGTACGGTGTAGGTGATAGGCTCACTACACTCAGCCAAGCTCCAATTCAGATTATTAAGGCTGAGAAAAACAGGAAAATAGAGCTCAGATGGGTTTTGAGAAACTTGTTGGGGTTTTTCAGGGATAGTTTACCAAATGGTTGAGGGATCTCTTCTCCAACTGTAGAACTTGAATTGCTTAAACATTGCAAGCCATGATTTTCAGAATCATCTGACACTCATTTTGTGGATTTGCAGAAGGTTGGAAAACACTTTTAAGACCATTGTGTCCAACCTTTAACCCAGAACTGCCAGGTTCACCACTAAACCATGTCCCTCAGAACCACATCCACGTATCTTCTAAACACTTCCAGGGACCAAGACTCAACCACTTCCCTGGGCAACCCTTTTGGTAAAGAAATATGTGCTAATATCCAATCTAAACCTTCCCTGACAGAGTTTGCAGCCATTTGAGTGTTTATTCTTTATATTCACGGAATTCTAAAATGCTTCTGCTGTATGAGTTGTCAGGTTTCATCAAAGCTATTATTTCTAATTCCCTGCGTGGGATTTTAATTGGGATTTTCCTTTCAGTGCAATGAGGAATGACAGAACCTGTAAAGATGGCAGCAGACGTAAGGTGATTTTCCAGAGCTATACAGACAGTACCTTTTTGACTCTTCAGGATGAAGATGAATATACAGAACATCTTGGCATCCTGGGACCAGTTATTCGGGCTGAAGTGGACGATGTTATCCTAGTAGGTCAATGTTTTGATTGTGTGTGCAGGATAAGATTCTTACAGTGATCTTGGAGTGTGACAGAATGTATCTAAAAATACCACAGTTTTTTTAAAGATGATGGAGGGGAAACAGTTTTCAAAGCTAGAAATTGCACTGTGAACTTGTAAGCACTGTGATGTGTTTCTTTGAAACACATCTTTTTTTCTCTCCTGTCCACAGCAAATTAAATTCTGTTTTTCTTTCTTATGTTTCCCAACATTAAATACTGGCTCACTGGTCTACTGTAAAATAAGATTTAGGTTTAATGTTAATGAAAAATGAGTTGTCTAAACTTAAAAATTAGTACATATGTGTTCAAGATGAATATATACTTTTTGGAAAAATATATAATTTCCTCTAAAAGGTTTTGCTATGTAAATGTGCAGGATTTTATTAGAACTGTCAACAAGGATGAAGAGGAACCATATCCCTGGTGACACTGTGGTATATTTGCATTAGGAAGCGCTGCTGTAAAATTTTCCTTCTCTTATTCTTCTTCATCCAGTCTTCCAACACACATGGATGGGCTTAGATAGGGAGAATAGATCTCAGTGCTTTCTGCTTATTTCAGTGGGAGTGCAACAGGAACTTACCAAGCTATGTTTAAATCAGGAGTAAGAGAAGAGTAAGATATTGTAACTTGGGAGTGATATTCTCTAAGAAGTAAATAGGTAATCCTACTATCCTGGTGTTTCTCTGGGAGAAGTAGAAAGCACTGATTTCAGCAAGAATGATGTACACAGAGGTCTAGAGTTACTATATTCTAACAACTGCAACAAAGCAGAAGAGGTAGACTCCCCATTTCCCTGCTGGCAGTAACTAAGCAGCTCCAGGTATGAGGGGCAGCAGTAAATGTCCTGGGACCCTCAATTTGGTGGAAGACAGGGAGCTAGACTCGTGATTTTTCAGAAAACTATCTGTATCAGAGGTGGAGACTCTGCATGGAGATGCCTGGAGATCAAAAGCTCTCACTGCTGGCTTTTCCATGTACAATGTAGCCTGTAATCTTTATGCAAATCTTGACCTGGTTTGAGGTCATGGGAATATAGTGCGTGGGGACTTTGGTTTAGGCCTGAGTTTGCTGAACAGAGTCTATTTTGGGTTTTTTAGGTTCATTTTAAAAATCTGGCATCCAGACCATATTCTCTCCATGCCCATGGAGTCCTCTATGAAAAGTCCTCTGAGGGAAGCGTTTATGATGATGAATCTACTGCTTGGTTTAAGGAAGATGAAGTTCAGCCAAATAACAGCTACATATATGTATGGTACGCAAACCGGCGATCAGGCCCTGTGCAGTCAGGAGCAGCTTGTCGGTCCTGGATCTACTACTCTGATTTAAACCTGGTAAGGGAATGAAAATAGAAGTGGTGGTGTTGCTGGGGATGATCACAGAATCATAGAAACACTTGTGCTGGAAGGCATCACCAGAGAGATGATCCAGTCCACCACTGCAACTCAAGCAGGATCAGCTGGAGTAGTATGTCCAGAGCCAATATTCAGCTGGGTTTTGAATATCTCCGAATGATGCATGGCTGTAGAAGTGCAAGCTACAGAACACATTTTTTGGTAGCTGTCCTTTCTTTTGGGCTCAATGTTCCCACCTGATATTTAATCTCTTGCACTCAGTTAAAGCAGGACATAAAGTATGGAAGAATTTGAACTGGGCAACTCTGGTAGACTGAGCAGGGAAGAGTAAAGATGGAAGGGAGCAGTAATTCTGGGACCTGCTTTAGATTTTTAGGGGCTGATGCATTCCTGCAGAATGCTATGGGGTTTTTCTTAAATCTTTTCGGAAATCCACTTTTACCTCTAATATGAGTTTATTACCTTCTAGGAGAAAGACATTCAGTCTGGTTTGATAGGGCCAATACTGATCTGTGAAAAAGGAGTCTTCAGCAAGTCAAACAGCAGCAGGACATATACCCGAGACTTCTTCTTGCTTTTTATGGTCTTTGATGAAGAGAAAAGCTGGTATTTCGACAAACATTCTGGAAGGCCTTGTAATGCGAAGACACAAGAAATGCAGCAATGTCACAAATTCTACGGTACCTATTTCATTTTGCCAAATATGCAGTTTATTGGGGTAGAGGGAAAGATGTCAGAAATATCTCAGCTCACGGTCATTTTCAACATGCATAAATCCCCCACATTAGTTATGTGAATTTTTTTTTTTTTATCCATTGTACTGATAGTAGTCATGGTTTACATGTAAAAATTAGCAGAGATGGGAAATTTGCTATTAAAATAAAGGATATATTAGACTGACACTTTCAACAGAAAACGTCTCTCTTGCATTCACATATATATTCCCCCCATTAAAAGAAAAAAGAAACAAAGTCTTCTTTGCAATAAGAAGCAAGTACCCTGACAACTTCTTGCAAGAAATTTAAAAATATTTTAATAATTTGACCAATCAGGTAGTTCTATTGAGAAATTTGAAGCATCTGTAGAACAGCCCTTCATACGCCTCTCTGTGGATATGGAGGTATGTCAGTTGTGCCTGTGGAAATGGGAGTTTCAGAAAGAGTTTTGGATAGCTGTCCTTTCTTTTGGGCCTGATATTCCCATCTTGCATTTAAATATTTTTGTTCTTCTGGCTGCCATGTGTTGCTACCAAGCTGTGCTCAAATCTTCTGGTGAGGTCCCTGGATTTTCTGAATTTATTTACATAGACTGTGAAGTGTGTTGCACTTTAAATTGGAAAAAGCTATGTTTTTCCCAAATGCCTTGCTTCATTAAATATGTTGCTAATTTCAATAATTACTTTCTAGCACTTTGAGACCCGTTTTGTGAGCAGTTTTCCTGACTAACAATATTATTATTTTCAGCCATTAATGGGATTACCTACAATTTGCAAGGCTTGAGGATGTATGAAGGTGAAACAGTCCGATGGCACTTGCTGAATATGGGTGGCCCAAAAGACATTCATGTTGTTCATTTTCATGGACAGACTTTCATAGAACAAGGAGAGCCAGAGCATCAGCTTGGTACATACACTCTCCTCCCAGGTAAGCATCAGAGCAGAGTAAGTTCTAAGGGGTGACCTCTGCAGTTTGTCATTATCATACCAATTTAAAGGTCTTCATATGGTGAGAATTTGGGGGTTTTAATGTCCAGGTAAGTGATACAGAACAGAAATGAGAACTGTGAGCCCTGGGAGAACTCTTATTCTCTCTCCAGGGAGAAATAGGCTGTAAGTATTCATTAGACTGCAGGATGAAGTCCTTTGCCCCATCACTGTCAGCAGTGCCAGTGTGCAATAACAGCACTATGAAGCCTGTATTGCCAGCTACAAGAATTCAAGAAAGAAAAAAGACAACAAGGAGATCAAAATAATAGGACTGGCTTGGAATACTAGGAGTTTTAGTGAACATTAGGGGTAGTTTATTCACTATTTTATTTCATTATTGTTAAGGTAGTGCTTTTAATTGTGAAATCTACATATTTTTGTTTAAATGGGAACCAGAATTAGCTGGAATTTCCTGAGGCATTGTCTGCAGCAACTAGGAATACAAGAAAAGCAATGAGAACATGTCCTGTGCTTTCTAAAAAGTGCATCAAGCAACTGAAACCATACCTACTTCCTGCTCAATCCTTGGCATGCCTGGAGCATGCAGAAAGTGAGGGAGGGCCCATACTTCTAATTTTCCCACTTCTACTTTTGCCTTCTTTACATCTTTTTCATTACAGGAACAACACACTGGCACAGCAGGAGTAAGAATCATAACCAGCACCACAGACTTACCATTATGTAATAAACACTGTTCACTACACTGTTCAGCACTGTACTAATGTGCAGATATCTGTTGTTATGTACAGGCAGCCAAGGTTTTGTGCTTTGAACCATCAGCAAAGGTTAGGTTTTGATCTGGCTACTTGATTCCAATCTCAGTCTCCAGCTAGAACTAGCTTGCTAAGAAAAAAATCACTGATGTGGTGGAAGTTACGGCTCTCATTGCAATGTGTATTTAAATTTTCTGGATTAGGTCATAGGAAGGTCTTTGGTTTAAAATTCAGCCTCACTGACATCAGCCTTGTAACGCAAATGTTTCTGATACATTTAATTTCCTTTCTTCAAGGCTCATTTAGAACAATTGAAATGAAACCACAGAGACCTGGCTGGTGGCTTATAGACACTGAAGTGGGGGAATACCAGCAAGCAGGAATGCAGACATCCTATTTGGTTATAGAGAAAGGTATGAACTACAGTGGGTTTTGGCTGGGAAAGTCAAGTTATGAAGTCTTCTCTACCCTTGCAGGATCACTAGAAATAAATTTGGGAGATTGTTCTGCAAAAAAAACCAAAAAAGAACTTAGGAAATTATTCACATTTAAAGACATGGTGGAGTGGTCACTGTAAATTTGTTCTAGAAGAAAAAAAATTTCGCTTCCAGCAATGCTAGCTTTGAATTACTTAGCACACTATCTTTATTCCTTTGGCATGCTAGCTTTGAATTTGAGGTTTCCCTACAGTGACCAGTGGATTAATGTGTTGAGAGAAATTGCAGAGATGAATTTGGACTTGTCTGGGAAGAGAGTGTGTTATAGACTTACTAGATAATAATAATAACAATTATTATAATTAATAGTGTACTAGAATTCCACTATTGTCCTGAGTGGTGCTGTCTTAGATTTCACCAGAATATATATTGGAATAGCCCTCGTTTTCTTCAACAACAAACTTACTGTGTTCCCTTCAGAGTGCAGGATTCCAATGGGCCTGGCAAGTGGGGTTGTACTCGATTCGCAGATCGATGCTTCACATCACATAGGTGAGTTTATCCTTTAAAAGGTCTGTGCATGCTCCTGAACACCCCCAGCAAAGTGTTGCAGTTCTGTTGTCTTTTGGCTTCTCCAGTGTCTTTCAAGATCAGTTCAGCAGTGAATCAGCTGTCAGGCTCAAGGTCTCACCAGTGCTGCAAGCAGAGACTGAGCGCTCTGTTGGGCAGCCATCATCATTGTATTTTAAGTGTCACAGGTCTGCTGTCAGTGTCACAAGATGTCTCCATCTTGTCAGGGAGAGCTCTGTCTGTGGCCTGCTGGATGATCAGGAATAAATCCAGCATTTTTTGTCCCTTGGAGTCCCTGTTGGAAAATAACACCAAGTGTTCAAAAAGCTTTTGAGATTTGCATGCGGTGTGAGATGTGAAAGGACAAAATATATCTGTTTTGAAAGACTTGGGAACCCTGGCATCCAGAGCAATTACAGAGTCTTTAATTTGTCAAGTTTATCTGTGGTACAGAAGTGGGATCATTACGTAGAGAATTTTCTTAGAATTTTACATGAACAGTGTCAAATCAAGGTGTACAGGTTACACACGCGTGCAGGAATTCCCATCCTTTCCCTTGAAATAAAAAATAAGTTACTTATTTTGTAAAACCTAATTTTTTGTGGATTTGATTTTCTTTCTTTGTTTCCCCATAGAGTGTTATGAAGGCTTGAAAGCTGGTTTGTAATATATATTCTAAACCAGTTTTTATCTTGGAAACCTTGTTATGCAAAGGGGAGCTCTCTTCCATGAATGTAGAGCACATTTTGTGTCTGATCCTTCTGGGGGCCAAAACTTGTTTAGCAAACTCAAGACCCTGGCTCCAAATTAGCAGACAGTACGTTACCTAAAAGTCTATTATTTTTGTCATTTTGCCAACTTTAAAGCTTTGCAGGGTGCAGATGACTTTCAGTTGCTGACCATGTCCAAATTATCCTAGATTATGTTTTTAGACCTCTTGCTTGTATTTTTTTCTTTTTTTTTTCTTTAATCCTTTGGGTGGGGGGTGGGAAATTTGTTAGCCAACTCAAAGCTAATAACAGCCTCAGTTTATGTTTTTTCAATGCCTCTTAAAATTCTTGCTTTATTTGTATTTTCTGTCTAGACTATTGGGAACCTAAGTTAGCCCGATTAAATAATTATGGAACATACAATGCTTGGAGTACTACAGTGGAGGAAGAACTCCCTTGGATCCAGGTAAAGTACAACATAACTGAGTTATGATTTTCCTACAGCTTATTTTAGAAGGTCAGGCTGCTCTTGTCACTGAGAAGACTCTTGGGGAAGACTGAAAAGATGTGGCAAGATTCTTCATGCCATGAACTGTTCTTCTTTCCTGGGGTTACCCAGTCTCTGCTGCTGTTGAGGCTCATTGACTGGACAGTTACCCTCACAATTTAGGTTGTAACCATTTTGTAGGTAAATGGAGTAATTCTTTCTACTACTTTACTTTTCCTTTGTCTACCTAATAGTACATATTCGTATGTATATGTTTGTTAAGTGATCGTTTAAGGTGTAATATCCTCAAGCCTTGATTCAGAAAGTTTTTTCTTTGATTTGTATGCTGGTGTCCCACTTGACAGAGCTCAGTTATCTTCACAGGGAGACTAAGCTTATTATGACTTCAAGCTCTCTATTATTCAGTCACCTCCACTTCTGTGTTTTTCTGCCATCCCAATGACTTTTGCACTACATAGCCAGTTTGCATCCAAATTTGGGGAGAATAGTTGATTTCTTATAAATCTCATTAAATTGGTTGGAAGACAAGAGAGACTCAAGTTCAGCAGGTGGCTGTTGTGTTTGATTTGCCAACATTTGACATACTGGCAAGTTAGTGGAAGTGAAGTAGGGGGAGAAGGTTGGGAGATCTGGTGTGGAACTGTAAATAACATTGGGAAGAGAAAGAATTTAACAGGGGGCTGTGGTGGTGAGAAGCCGAGGTTGCTGCAGTGAAGCATGCAGAGGTGTGGAGGCCGTGTCCCAAAGAATGAGTTTCACTGCTGACAGGCACACCTTCCAGATTTGTTTTTATGTGCTAAGTGCTTAGATATGGTATCAGCAGGAATGGTGGCTTTTCAGCACTTCAGAATGTCATAGGCCTTTCTGCAGCCTACGTATCCAAAATTAGAGGTGGCTTCTAAAAGTGTGAGCCTTTAATTTCTCTGTGCTCCTTGATCTATCTGTAAAATGGGGCCAGGGGGGAGTTGTGCCTACCACAGACACACAGATATTTTTGAGGTGCCTTTGTGGTGCAGTGCTGAACCCTGTAAAATGGCGTCTGAAATTAAATGCACACGCAAAAACACAAATTAAATGAGAAAGCATTAATTTGATAGATCTCTGATCGATACTCAGGTATCTATTATTGCTTTAGAGAATGTTAGTGTTGTGCATATTAAAGTGTCGAAGAATTATACAGGTTTTGCTGTGCATTATTGACTTTATAAACACTCTTTGCTGTTCGTAGGTGGACTTTCAGAGACAAGTTTTGCTCACTGGGATACAAACACAGGGAGCCAAGCAGTTTTTAAAGTCCTTGTACATCCAGAAGTATTTTCTTGTTTACAGCAAAGACAAACGGACATGGAGCACCTTCAAAGGAGACAGCTCGCCAACAGGAAAGGTCTGTCTGTGCCATGGGGATTGCAACAACCTAGGGAGCATCACTGAGTGATACAGTGAGTCTTAGTTAATGTTAGAGAAAGAGTGGAAAAAATTATGGCCTTTGGAGCCTTAATAGTACAGCTGGAAGCTCCAAAGGGCAATTACCAAACTAATGAAATTCAGATTAGAAGACAAATTGTAAGGTGAGGACTTACCTCTACGGGGATTTGATTGGCCTTGTGACCTTGACTGTGTGGAGTCTGGCTTTCTCACAGGCATCTCTCCCTACTATTATTTCCTAAGGCCATGGCAGCTTTTTTGAAGGAAGCAGGAAGCTGAACTAAAAATCAGGCCTTTACCTCATTTGGGATTAGATTCTGTTTCTCATCCCTTCCTTTGATCTGTCCCAGCAGCTGAATGTTGAACTGTCTGATTTGCATGTGTGGTGAGTGTGGTTGTATGCTGGAAAAGGTTCATCTTATGCCCAGCTGCTCCGGCCCCACCAGCCTATTACAGCTCCCTTCAATTTACACCAAGATTTCTGTGGTACAACTCCCAGATTGAAAGCCTGCTGTCTTTTACCTCTCCTTTTGCCTCTTTGCTCATGTATTTTTATAGACTTACATTAAAAAAAAAAGGTTGCTTATTTAAACTGAGGCCTTCAGACACTTCAAATGTGCTAAGATGGGACCATGAGATATTTCAAGTGGCCCTGCAGCATAGGGTGTGCTGTCACTGTGGATGGGGCTGAGGGCATAAAAAAGACTACATTTGTAAAAGAGCAGGCTTTCAGCATCCAAACTAGCGTTTGCATTAAATTAAGTATGTATGGGGTTTTAATTTTTTTTTCTTTTAAACAGATTTTTGAAGGTAATTCCAATGCCTATGAGGTAAAAGAGAACAGCATTGATCCCCCTATTATTGCTAGGTACATCAGACTCTACCCCACTGAGGTCTACAACAGACCTACTCTTCGCATGGAGCTTCTGGGCTGTGAAGTAGATGGTAAGAATTGGTCAGCTGCTTCCATTCTGACAAACTGTGGGTCTTCTCCATTCCAGCATTGTTGCTTTAGCTGTGGCCACTTGAGTGTACTGGAGATGACACAGTGCTCCTCTCAACAGGTTGCTCTTTGCCACTTGGAATGGAAAGTGGAGAGATCAAGAATACCCAGATAACAGCCTCATCTACTAAGACATCCTGGTTTAACACATGGGATGCTTCACTGGCTCGTCTCAATCAGAATGGAAAGATGAATGCCTGGCGAGCCAAGGTAACAAGAGAACAACAGGGAAGGCAGCAGGGACAGCTGGTTAATAAATTGGTGCTGCCTGTGTGGTCATGGTGCTTCCTGCATGCTCTGTCCAGTGCTGAGCGTGATAGGGTCACTTCACAGCTCTCCTTTGGGAAGAGCACCACTCAGCTCTTCAGCAGAAAATTTGTTGAGCTTCTGGCAACAGCAGTGAAATACTTTGAGAGATGGATGGTCTCCTCTGGGCCACAGTCTGCAGAACTTCCCTGTGGGAATAGCCTGTTTAATTTCAGGAGATGTGTGCAATTTGAATATTTGCCTCAATGGCTTAAAGAAACCCGTTCTGGGTTGGCTTATAGGCAGTGCAGCTTAGTGGATCTGGGGGTGGGTGACCTTCAGCAAGGCATGTGAGCTTCTGTGTCTTTGAAATGGAGCTGCATTTCTCCACAAAGCACCTTGAGATTTGATGGAAGCTGCTCTTTTGTATAAGCATTTGGTATTAGTGTTAAGTATTAGGTTTTAACACTGGAGGTATAGCTGTTATATTTCATTATATATTAGAAATGAAAACGTAAATCTTAAGACTCCAAATACACTACCTGCAGTGATGAAGTTAATTATATAGGTCACTAAGAATGCTTATGACTTGCCTCAGCTTTATTCTTCTTTGATACAGTTTTGATGCATTTTGATACAGTTTTAACTACCTGTTAACATGCTTTTCACTTAAGCAAATACAGACATTTACATGTTTGCTAATACACAAACTTTCGTATCAATTGTAGTTTAACAACAACCAACAGTGGCTGCAAATTGATCTCCTCACAGTTAAGAAGATCACTGCTATTGCTACGCAGGGGGTCACATCCATGTCAGCTGAAAACTTCGTGAAAACCTATGTTCTTCTGTACAGCAATGAAGGCTCCGAGTGGAAATCCTACACAGAGGGTTCAAGCTCAATGCCAAAGGTATCACTGTCAGCCCAGGAAATTGAAATGTTTTGTTGTTTTGAATTGAATTGAATTGTTTGGTTTTAGGTGCTGGACGCAGTCAAGGCTCAAAGGCAGAATGCCCAGCCAAATTGATATTCTCACTGGACTGTAAAGTGCTAGGGAGCTGAGGTTACTACAGATAATGTCACAGTACCCATCTGATTTTAATAATCATGATTAATCATAATAAAAGGGATGAATGCTGTATCTGCAGAGAATGCAGCCAAATTGTGATAAAAGGAGCTGCCACTGTTTGTAAAGGAGAACGTTTAGTTTGAATGCACAAGGACATTTAATTTGAGTGAATAATGGATTCCCCAGGGCCTCTTTTAGGTTTTTTTATTTCTGCCCTGATTTTTTAAGTGAAATTAATGATAGTGAGCAGTATTGCTGTAGCAGAGCTGGGGAATTTCAGGTACCCACAGAGCAGACACAGTATTTTGTATTTTTCCTGTATTACCACACCAACCTAACCCACAAGGGCTATTATCAGTGGTGAAATAAGGGGAGTTTGAGGGTTTGGTCCATTAAAAATTAGAATGGCAAATTTTCTGATGGAAACAGAGGCTATTTAATCCATTCAGACTCAGGTATTGCTGGCCTGAACTACTTTTAACCCAGCACAGTAGGAAGAGACTTGTTGTGGTCTTGTTTAAAACCAGAAATGAGCCAGTCCATCTACCCTGGGTGTGACTAATGCAACAGCTTGGAACTGTTGTAAAGAGAAAATGCAGGGTTTTTTTCAAATGCCACCTTTTAACTAATTGTGTTTGTGTATTTGCAGGTTTTCTTGGGTAATACAAACAGCAATGGGCACATGAAGAACTTTTTTAACCCACCCATCCTGTCCAGGTTCATCCGCATTGTTCCAAAAACATGGTACCGTGGGATTGCTCTTCGGGTAGAACTCTATGGCTGTGATTTTGGTGGGGGTCTGGCTGTGAAAAGGACTGATGAGTCTGGGAGCTCTTAACCTGCCAGCAGTCATCGTGCAGAACAACTTGTTTGTTGAGAAGCCCTTAAAGCAGTCACACTTAGTAGTTCGGATGTGTGCTTTGTCAAATGAACATAATGTTTTACCAGCAGGATTGAGAGGTTTCTCTGGAAGGTGTTTCATTCCTACAAATGTACACTTTAGAAAACAGCTTCTTTTCTCTGGAAGAAATAGTAGTCCCTTCTGATTAGTGTTATCACTTCTTCATTATAACCAGTACTCTGTCTTATTTTTACTTAATTTTAAGTCCTAAATCCCTAGGAATGGAGACTCTGGCCTTGATCCTGAGCCCTGCCTTATCTCCATTTTGTAATGCTTTTGCAGCAGATGAGGAATAGAAAGCTATAGCAGGTAGATGGTCTGCATACATAAGGCTGAGAGGGAAAACCAGTGCTGATCTGGAGCTGTGGTGCTGTGTTCCAGCAGTGCCTTGGTGAGAAATGATTGTAGGGGTGGCCTCTCCTCCACGTCTTTCACCTACACTGTGGCAAAGGCAGGACATGTCTCAGCATTCAGGTATGTGCAACCCCTTCTCAGAGAATGTGTGCTGGCATTGTTGGTTTGGTTCTTGCATACTCAGCACAAATGAATGGTGTGGGTTTCACAGAATTCATCTTCAGTGCCCTGGAAAGGGAAAAGGGGATCAGCAGTGCCTTTCCATCCCAGAAATGAGAAGAAAAATTATTTAACTTAGCAGGTCGTGGAACAGCAATGGGAGTACCAAAACAAGAATTCAGAACTCCTGATGCTTAGTCCCATGTACACTTGTAGACTGTTGGTTCAGGGAGCTCCCTTGATGAGGAAAGCTTTGAGAACTGCAGCTGTTCAGTGACAGTACAGCCTGGTGGTGGCAGAGGAGGATTAGATGAAACTGGGTAACAGAAACAGCTTCATCTTCTCTTACAATTTAACAGTGTTTTCACTAATGGAAATACTCTTGTGCATAGATTTTACATGGATTTTTCCCAGGATAACTACATCTGAAAATAGATACACAGTCCATGAACTCATTATTCCAGCAGAATTTTAGCTAAGCTTTCAGTAGTGTTCTGGACTTCTATCCTGTAAATTGTTTATTTGCAGCACTTCGCTTATAACACTAGGTACCATTCAGCAGGCTGGATTTTTAAAGTAGTTTGTATTTGAACCTTGGATGGTGTTAGCCAGTTTTATTTCAGTAGTTTTTAATTTCTTTCTCTTACAGAACTTGCATTTTAAAGAGAAGGTATAGAACAGGAGTGAAAAAAGTGTAAAAACTAAACAAATATTTTCTTCTATTTTTTTTTTTTTACTATGTCACAAACTGTTGTAATTCTGCACTGGAAAATAAAGCTGATTTTGTAGCATGAAAGGCATCAACATTTTCTTTTGTATATTTGCCTCTACAGTAGTAGCTCTGGTAATAGTGAAAGTTTGCAACAGGAAAGTAAAATTTTCAGTGCCAATTAGAGTTATTTTCAAATGGTGAATAAGTATGAGTAATTATTTCATCTTTAAAGGTTGATTTCTTAGTATTTTGTAATTGTGTTTAATTTATTTTTGTTTGACACCACCATGAAATTGCAACACACTCCATCTTCACTAAAAAAAAAAAAAAAAACCAAAAAAAAACATGTAAACTTTGGATTGAGGTTTTACCTTGGAAAACAGACAATAAATGCTTGCTGAGTTCAGCAGAACCAAGTTTTTATGTGATAATTGTGAAATTATTTTTTTAGAAGGCAGTGATCTTTAATGTTCTAAATAAGTAATTTGTTCTTTATATGTACATACACACACACACATGTAATTCTGTGTAAAGTTATAAAACTGCAAACTGATTGCAGGAGCATGACTCAGTCCATCTGCATCAATTTTACGAGTTGAAGGTTCTGCCTCTTCTTAGTAATGAACAATTCTTCGGTTAGCTGAGGTCAGCTGTCCTGCTCCAGTTTTCTCCCCAGGCCCTTGTTCGTGCCCAGCCTACTCACTGGCAGGGCAGAGGGGTAAAAAGCAAAGGCCTTGACACTGTGCAAACACTGTTCAGTGCCCCCTAAAACACCCCTGGGTTGTTTACACTGCCCTAGTCAGAAATCTAAGCCACAGCACCCTACAGGCAACTGTGATGGGAATTAACCCCGTTCCAGTGGTGTTCCAGCCTGCCCAGTAGAGCAGGGATGTCTGGGCCCTGTGCCACCTCAGACACGAGGCCATTGCTGATAAGACATGTTCCCTTGCACAGCAGAGTAAGATGATAAGTGCTACAATAAACAGCAAAAGTCCAAACCAGTCACTAACGTGCCAGACTCTTACATACAGTAAGACAAAAAGTATGAACCCCTGCCCATAACAGCTGTAAATTCCTAGCACACTCTGATCAGGGGTGTTATCTCAAAATCCTCTTGTCTCACACTGGACACCAAAAAGGACTGCAGTAGTTGGCCCCAGCTGGCAGCTACGTCCTCACTCAAGTCACTTGATGGCTTTCCTCTGGCAGGCAGCAGGGAGAGGATTGGAAGAGTGAAAGAGAGGAAACTTGCAGGTTGATATAAAGGCAATTTGATAAGAAAATCAAAGCTGCACATGCAAGTAAAGCACAATAAGGAATTCATTTGCCCCTTGTCATCAACAGGCACGTGTTCAGCTGCTTCCAGGCAAGCAGAGCCTCAGCTCACCTGACAGTGGCTTGGGAAGACAAAGACCATAACTCTGAACATTCATTCCCCCTTCTCCTTTCCTCCTGCCTTTCCTGCTGAGCACAGTGTCACACAGTCTGGCATATTACATCCCCTGTCTCAGCTGTGTCCTCTCCCAGCCTCCTCACCAGTGGGGCAGGGTGGGGAAAAGAAAAGGCCTTGGTGCTGAGCAAACACTGCCAGTACCAGCTAAAACAACGTGTGTTACCAGTGCTCGTTTAGTAAAAAAACCAAAGCACAGCACTATACAGGCTGCTGTGAAGAAAATTATCCTAGCTGGACCACATACACAAAGTATTTTAATTTTATTAAGCAGCCATCTTAGATTGAATTTGCCAAGGCTTTTGAAAATCTGTAGTTAAAACAGTCAGTCCTGCACAGCCTTTTATACACTGTGGAATTAAATTCTGTGTATACTGAGATTATTTGCAAAGTACACAAGGAGAGCAAGAATTCCTGCAGTTTTCTCAGAGACTAAAGATGCATGTGACAGCATGAAGGTTAACAAACACAAACTCTTTTGGACTGAGGGAGAAATGTGGTGACCAAAGTTCAGAGTAATACAGTCTTCACAAATCTGGATGAATGCCTTCACCACTGGCCTTTTGATCCAAAGGTCCAAAGTCACCTGTCAACTGCTTTTAGCCTCAAACAGCATCACAGTGGAGTTGCTGCCCTCTAATGCTCATTCCAGCTTCCAAGAGGCTGCAGGGTGTCCAAAGCTGACCATCTGCAAGTGACAATACCACATGGCTGGCTGTGCTTGAAGCCTTGTGCTTTACTAGGTGCAACCAAGCGTTTCCATTTTCTTTCCAGAGGCGGTGGCTGTACTCCTTCACACAGACACTGAAACTGGTTGTGTCTGCACTTGGACTGGAAAGGAGCTGGAACTATGTGTGAAGACAGTTGAGCAGCTCTGAAATAGATACTGAGAGCAGCACCACAGTAGTTTCTTCAGAGCCTGATGCAGTAGTCCAGTATGCAGACAGGTTTGTACAGGGTGCCCTGTACAGTCTAAAGATGCAGGCAGTCTCACGTGGATGGGTACAGACACCTCTGCCTTTTAGAGGAGATGTCACCTCCATTTTTGCCAGTTTTTCTGCTGGTTGTTCTGAATAAAACACCTACACTGCAGGGATACCTGCACTGAAGCTGGGCCAGCTCACCTTCACCAAGGTTCCCAGGAGTCTGGAGACTGGATGGTTCCCTCCAAACCGCTGGCATAGCAAAGCAGGGTAGAGACATAAAGCTGCATATTACCCATGGATTAGAGCCAATGCAGATCCTGTTTCTGTATCCACTCAGAAGCCTGAACTGTGCATCAGCACAGACGCAAAGGTGATTCTGGGCTTTGGGGCTCTTCTTACATTAGAGAAGTCCGTGAGGGTGCCTGGCAAGAGTATGTCTGAGTGAAGTGCCAGGAGAACCCTGCAGAAAAAGCATCAAATGGGAATGTGGCCAGGACTCCAGACAAATAACCAATCTTTTGAGCATCCTCCAACATCTCCTGAAATGGCCATGAACACTGGTGGGTTGATCAGAATTTTAGAATGGTGCTAAGGGACAAAATGAGGGCTTGCAGCTTCACAAGCACTCACATTCACGAGGTGTCTTTCATGACAGGAGAAGATTGTTTTGGCACACACCTGAGAGAGGAAGAGAAAGGCTCTGCCCATGCCCACATATGAGCTAGGGAAGACTGTTTATCCATGTTACCATGAAGCACCACAGAAATGAGATGCAGCACTGTCCTATGTGGACTGGCTGCTATTTTGTATGAATCAGTTATTCCTCTTAATCAGTGTAAAATATTCCTCTTCTTGCTGTGTTTTTTGTGCTAGCTCTGCATCATAACCAGTTTATCCATCTACACTTTCCTATCATTACTGTGCCCCCAAATTTTCCATTTGTTTGTTACACCCAGTGCTTGAAAGATGCTTTAATTACAATCTCCTCCAGGTAAGGACTCTATCTTCTTGAATGTTTGTACTGCACTCTCCAAAACAGGCCATGGGATCATTCTCAGGGTTCCTGGGCACATCTGTAACACCATCCTAATGGGAGCAATACTGTGTTAAGCCCACTGTGACCTACGTACACCAAGCACCAAGTAATTCAGACCAACCTATTTGCTTCTTTAATAAAAGTACAGGGTATGTTTCTTCTAAGTGCTTGTTTTTCTTTGTAACATCACTATTGTACTCTCTTTTAGCACTTCCTATGAAAATCTTTCCACTGTTTGTAGCAGACTTGAGTGGCTTTTCCATTTTTCTCCTCATGTAGCTGACTACAAAGTATTTTAAATTGTTACATCCATAATGGAAATGTATAGTGCTGTACAACATGACCCCTGTTAGCCCAGGAGTTATTCTGATATCCTGTGGCAAGTGATTCCTCCAATTCAGACATGAATGCCTCATCTCTAACAGCTCTCTGCTTCAGTCTGCGTTGGACTCCGTGCAGAGCTTGCTGTGGTGTGTGGGGCAGAAGGGAAGCTCTCTTTTGACAGTAGAAGAGGCTTTTGATAGCAACCTGTCTCCCAATGACCCCTGTATTTTGGAGAGATGGCTGTTTGTCTTGATGCTTCTGCAGGTCTTGGAAGCTTGGATTTGAGGCTGGCTTCTGTATCAGCTGCGCTCCAGTGAACTACAATGCTGCCTTCCCCGCACCATGTACAGGGGTTTTAAATTGACCCTTTATGGCTGCATAATATTTATGAGTTCCCTGTTGAAAGCCCCCAGATTATCAAAGGATCATCTGGGGGTTGGAAATGGAAGACACGGGCCTTCAAAGTTATAGCCAGTCTACTGTTCTAACAGACAGCTATAATCTACAGGCTTTGATCTAAACTAACCAGCCTGCATTTCAGAAATAATTTGGATTTTTGTTTTGTTCTCGCTAATTCTGGTTCATTTCAACATAGATACTAGTTAATGGAGTCTACTTCCCCAGATTAGTTACAATGGCCAAAATAATTTAAAAAAAAATAAAAATAATTAAAAAAAAAAAAAAAAAAGTGGTTGCTGCTGTTTGTCACATTTCTGTGCCCTTGTTCCTTCCATGCTCAGCAAAAGACAAATCTGTTTTATTCTCTCCTTCAGGATAGTTTCTGAAATATTTGTACCATCTTAGTGCTCTCACACACTGAGGAAGCATTCTGAACAACAGCTTCACAAGAGTGCAGTTTTTAAAGTTTTTAATTTGCAGAAGATTTTCTCTAAACAACTTGGCAAGAGTTTAGGAGAACTTTTCATGCACGTATATTTTATTAATTCCTCCACAATACACTGCAGGACAGAAGTTGAGAGAAGAAGGAAATAGGTAAGATTAAGGAAAGTGTGAGAAACCCTACTTTTCACAGCTTATGTCTTTCATCTTAGAAAAAAATGTTGGAACTGTTGAGGTTTTTACTATTAAACATGTTTAACCTTTCCTTACTTTTTCTAGTAGAGTGGGGAGATGGAAAGAAAAAATGTGAAGGAAGGTTAAGAAAAGAAAAGATAGAAGTAAAAAATCAGGGAATAAAATTTTATCTTGTTCCCAAAGGCTGAAAATATTCCATGAAAATAAAACAAAGTGAGTTCTTTTGAGAACAAAACCGAAACTCTGAGAAAACATGGAGCACTTAAGTCAAAATTTTGCAGTTTCTTTTTTTGTTCCAGTTTTTGGAGGAGAAATCCAGGTTGCCCAACTGACTGTGTATTTTTTTTTTTTTTTTTTTTTTTTTTAAGGAAAAGGGCTGAACTGATGTAACTCATTCTAACCCACTGGAAACAGCAGTTGAGCTCCAGTGGCACAGCTCTAAGGATTGTTGTTTTGGAAAAGAGCAAGATCCTGTGAGCAGCCTGGATCTGTGGGAGCAGTTGCCTCTAGGGAGGGCACACCAAGAACTCCAAGGTTTTGCCCTTTCCTCCTGCCCCTGCCTGGCACCCAGCAATGCTCAGAGGGCGCACACCACCCTGCTAACAGCCCACATCCCTTCATTACCTGCTCCTGGGCCACATGCCAGCGGGACAGAGGCACTGTAAGAGAGAGGGAGCCCCTGGCAATGCGTTTATCAGTCGTTGTTTTGGCTCATTTCACTCTAACCACACTGTTTGAAAAGATCAGCCGTTCCTTGCCTGTGGCTGAAATGGACGCCAATATTAGCAGGAACTGACACTTTATATGTAGAGTTTTGCTTCAAGAAAAAAGGTAGTGAAATAGCAATATCTTTTTTTTTCCCCTACTAAATCTTACAGGTTTTCTACAGAAGAGAACATGGAGAACAATAGAAAGGAAATTTTGCTACACCCAGAAGATAGCCAGAACGCAGCAAACCACTGATGCCCAATGATCAAGACCAAAATATTTAGCTGAGTAATCTTATGGCCCAAATCCTCTTTGTAGCTATGTTTACTAAGGCATGATTATGGTGATTACAGTAATAAAATAGAAATAAAAATATAATAGTAATAGATAGTAAAATTCTGCACTACAAGGAATCTGTTCTGGGGCTGAGAAAACTTGTTTTTTCCCACCCAACTCTGTATATCCAGTTGCCTAGGAGGCAGGATATGCAACTGCACAGGTGGGAGGCCTGACCCCTGGTCTGAATTGTCTCTGGCATCAGCCAGTTTGGAGAACAAACTGCAGGTATAACGTAGGAAGCTCTAGGAGTGATAGCAATGTCGTGGAAATCAAGGGTCTGGAGCCAAGGGAAAGGCAAATCAAGTAGATGGAAAGGAATAGATTGAAGAGGAAAACAGCAAATAGTTCAGAGGATTGGCAAAGCTTTAGCAACAGTACTACTGGGCAAAACTTTAGATAATGAATGTAGTCGTTTTATTTTCCCCACTTGTCTAATATTTCTTCTGGTTGGACAACAAGGCGCTGCTTTATTAAACCACAGAAGTGATCAGAGCTCTTATCTCGCGAAAGGGAAGAAAGCGGCAGGGGTCAGCGGCCCCGCGGGCGGATCCGTGCGGGAGCGGCTGTCCCAGGAACGGCGCGCGGACCCGGCCCGCCCCGCCCCTCCCGCGTGCGCGGCTGCTGGCCCCGCCCCCGGGACGGTCTGCCCAATCCGAGCGCGGCGTGTGGCCCCGCCCCCCGCGCGCCGGCCAATGAGCGTGGGGCGCAGGGCCGCGGGCCGGAGCCCCGTCTCGGGAGGTGACCGGGACGCGCCCGCCACCGGCGCCTCCGGCCCCGGGAGCGCCTCTGCGCCCCGGAGCGCCTTCGGCCCGGCCCGGCCCGGCATGGCGGACTCGCACGGGGGGCGGCCGGCGCGGTGCTCCGCCCGGGCTGCCAGCGGCAGCGCCTGCTCCTGGGCGCTGCCCACGGCACTGCTCTGCGCCTACGGCTTCTTCTGCAACGTGCGGCCGTCGGAGCCCTTCCTCACCCGGTACCTCTTGGGGCCGCACAAGAACCTTTCCGAGACGCAGGTACCGCGTCCCCCCGGGTGACTTCCTCCCCCCCAAGCTCCTCCCCCCGCGGAGTGTGTCTGTGTGTCTGTGTGTCTGTGCTTTGTTGGCTGTACGGAAGTGCCGGCGGTTACCGCCGTCTTTTCCCTCCCGCAGGTGTTCAACGAGATTTACCCGGTGTGGACTTACTCCTACCTGGCGCTGCTCTTCCCCGTGTTCCTGGCCACGGACTACCTGCGGTACAAGCCTGTGGTCCTGCTGCAGGGCCTGAGCCTCATCGTCACCTGGTTCATGCTGCTGTACGCCCAGGGGCTGTGGGCTTTCCAGTTCCTTGAGTTCTTCTACGGGATGGGGACTGCCACCGACATCGCCTATTATTCCTACATCTACAGTGTCGTCGATATCAACCTGTACCAGCAGGTCACCAGCTACTGCCGAAGTGCCACCCTGGTGGGCTACACAGTGGGCTCGGTGTCTGGGCAGGTCCTTGTGTCAGTGGCGGGATGGTCCCTCTTCAGCTTGAACGTTGTCTCCTTAACCAGCATATCCATTGCCTTTGCCACGGCGTGGTTCCTGCCCATGCCACGAAAAAGCCTTTTCTTTCACCACCTCTCAAGTCAGCGGCTTAATTTTGAAATGAAGGTCATGGACTGTAAAAATGGAGTGGCTGTCCAAGATCATCCTGATGTGCAGAGGGCACCTGGCTGGGAGGATGAGACAAAAGTTCCCTTAAATGGGGAGGGTCATTCAGCGGAGAAACAGGTGAGTTGTGCCCTGAGTTTACATGAGTAGAAGATGCCATAGTGATGTGGTTGTCATACATGCAGTATATATATATATATATATATATATATACATATATATATATATACCTAGCAGTATACAAGCAGATACTTTCTTGCTGCTAGATATTACAGTAGAGATGTAATATCTAACAGCAAGAAAGTATCCCTTTCCATATCCCTCTTATTTATGGCACAGGGAGAATTATTACTGGTATCCTTTTGCTGTTTGAGCATGGTAGACTGCTCCTGAGTTTTTCTGAAATTGCTCTTCATGTCTCACCAAGGCTGCAGTCTGAATGCTCTGGGCATCAGATTGCCATCCCGTGGTACAATGCAAGGGACATCTCTGGGACACTAAACATTGAGCATATGTCCAAACTCTGTGTGTGCTTCTGGATACACCCAGTGATTTGCAGAAAGAGGCAATTCTCCTTGTACTCAGATTTTGGCATTGTTACTCCAGCTGTTGCGTGAGTTGTGCTGCAATATGCTGTGTAATAATTGGGGTTTATTGTATGATCCTGGAAGGAAGCTGCTCTAGGAAGGAAGCTGCAATAGTTCTTGGGGGCATGTGGAAGCAGACATTGATTAGTAATAGAAGGGCAGAATGTGGAGAAATTGCAGGAAGCACATTTGCATGATATCAGCTTAATGCAGCCCCTGAGAACGCCAAGGTAGTGCCCTGACTTGTGGCTTTTATGGGCTGTGTAACTTGGCAAAGCCATTTGTATGGAAACAAGTGCAGGGACCCTTGCTTGGTGGAGGGATGTGCTGAGTCCCACCACGGGTGAGCAGCCTCCAGGCTGGGGCCCAGTCTGAGTGTGTAGTTGTCTGCTGGGCAGGTCCCTGCTGGCCACACTGCTCCAGGAAATGCAAATATATGGAGATTCCTGGCAGGGGGATTTGAGGCCCTGGGGAGAGGCCAGCCTTGCTCCTCAGAGAGAAGGAGGCCGTGCTGGTTCTGAGGACAAGCCAGAAGGTAAGTGCAGCTGCTGGATTTGTCAGCAGTGGGTATTTCTTAGCAAGTAAGCCACAGTTAGCTGGCTTGGGGGAGGCAGCACCCATGGCTGCTTTCTGCTGCTACAGCTGGGAATTAGGGGTATTAACATTCCAGAGATTTAATCCTGCCCCATCCAGCACGATTTTGTGTGACCAAGGATATTTTTACCCAAGCTATGTTTGCATGTTGAAGGGTATTTGTTAAGACGAATTCTGTGCCATAAACATATAACTTATCCATCCCTTTTGTTTACCTTACTCCTCTCCTGTGAGAGTACATGTGGTACCAAAGTAGTGGACAAAAGTTCAGAAAAGGAGGGAGTGCAACCTGCCTAACTCCCCTGAGGTCACTTACACCAGGTGCTGAAGGCTGAGAAGCACTGGAGTGTGATGATTGTCATTCTTGCTGAGCTAACAGCAACCATATTTCGCAAACATGGATGGCTGTAGGAATAATTGTACTGAAGAGGCACTGCCAGGGCAGGGCAGGTGTGCCTTTCTGCCTTACCAGACACTCACTGGGGCTGAGCAGCCAAATCAGTTTTTGCATTGTGTGTGACCATTCCCTTTTTGTTGTTTTCCTGTGCCTTAACTTGTGCTTTGTGTGAAACCGTCTGTGTGGGAGTTATGTGTAAAGTCCCATTGCCACAAGCTCACTTCTTCCCAAGTCGTTCTGTTGTGTTTTGGAGGAATGGTATCCATGTGCAGAGCAAGAGTTATGCCATTGGCAAGGCACCGGTGGGACTCTGTGGTGCTTAATAAAGATGCTTAGAAATCAGTGGCAGCTGAAGGGGTGGAAGAAAGGAAGTTCAGGACAGGTTTCAAGCTGTGGTCTTTTGGGGTTTTAGTAGAAACCTTTTGAAATTAGTTTTATTGCTCATGAAAAATAGTCTTTCTCAGGAACACACTGCATGATTCCCCCAGGGAAAAGGCATAATGCCAAGTGCTCAAAGTTGCTGCTGCTTTCTGGAAACCACTCTGAAACTGGGCATGTGACAGCACAATGTGCAATAGCTCAGTCCTGTGACAATGCTGTGTGTTTCCCTGCAGGGAATCCAAGTTCACAGGGGCCTGAGGTGCTGGGTGAGCCTTGGGGCCCTGCCCAGTCTCACATTAAGTGACTGCTCTTCCTACTCAGACTGGAAGGGTCTTGCCCTGCAGAGTCTACACTATGTCTGTACATGCGTGTGTGCGGCAAATGTAACCAAGAACTTTTGTCTACAAAGTAAAGACATGCTCTTTTCCTCTGCTGCTGTTGACATAAAGTGGTAAAGAACAGGACTGTAACAGTTTGTATGTAAAAAACAATTTTGATTACTGTCATCCTCTGTTGCTAGAATTGATCTATTTTCAATTATTTTTAAGGGTCTGCCCCCTTGCATGCTCTTTCTAGAAAGATTCAGAGTGGAAAGCTTCATTTTTTATCTCCTGCCATGTCAGGGCACTTGCATGTGCAGGACCTGCCACTTGCAATAGCAGTGTTTGGTGGAAGTAGCTTCTGTTTCCCTTTAGATTCCCAGGTGACATCTCTCACCTTCTTGAAGCGCTGGTGGGCTTTAACAGGGGTGGAGTGTGTGGTAATGAGATAGCTTCTTTGAGTATTTATAAACTTCCAATGCCTATTCTAAAGAAAACCAACTTATTTGGAGACAGATATAGTTTTCTGTGCTACAAAATTTGGTTGAATTTGAATCAGGACTTAAAGGTGTTAGTGATACTTTTTGCCTTTATGATGTAAAAGACTGTCTTCTGACCCTGTCTTGTCTAAGTGGATATTGTGTCCTGTTCTCTGGTTTGTCTTCTGTGGTACCCTTCAGTTGCTTACATAACATGTGGCAGTCCCTGCTGTCTGCTGGGGAGAGCCAGAGATGGGGAGGTGCTTGGGACTGAACCCTTCCTCTGCGTATAAGAGTACGGCCCCGTTTGGCACAGACTGTGGGATGGGAAAGCTTTTTATTCATTACTCTGTGGGGGTTTGTGTCCCAAGAATGGTATTGTCACTCACCAGTGATAAGACCACCTGAAAGGGGCAATTTTGTGAAGCAGTGTGAAGTGTTCATAAACAAAGACTTAACGTTTCTCTCCCCTTCCTTCTCCAACCTACGCAGAAGCAGAAAGTAGACATCGCAAAGGTGCTTAAAGACCTCTGGCAAGACTTCCTGCAGTGCTACTCCTCTAGGACCATGCTCTGCTGGTCCGTGTGGTGGGCACTGTCCACCTGTGGCTACTTTCAGGTCATCAACTACGCTCAGGGCCTGTGGGAGATGGTGCTGCCTTCTCACAGCGCGGACGTCTACAATGGTGCTGTGGAGGCAGCCTCAACACTCCTGGGTAAGCTTCCAGCTTAGCTCTTGCTCTGCTGTGAGAAATGTCTTGTTTCCTTCAAGGTCACTAGAACATGATTTGGAAGTGCCATGCATTTCACCAAGCATGCAGGAGAGGTAAACCCTGGCATTTGGGTGAGTCTTCCCTGACACGCACAGGTAGGGTGCTCAGTGTGAGTTAGTTGTTGAAGCAGCCCTGATTCTTGTAATCCAGTAGGTGTTTAGAGGAGCCTCCCAAGGCAATCTTCATTCTGAAATACTTGGCACAAGGCTCCAGGCATGTGGTTGACTGTATGCTCTTGGCTGTCACCATGACAGCCAAGTGGGTTATGTTTGTTTTAGCCACTCGGAGTCAGATATGGGGTCCTGTGCGTTTGGTTTTCCTCCAGGAGGCTATGAAGGTTTCCTGTACGCACCCAGCATGCAGTGAGCCATGGTTAGTCTTTTCAGCACTGTTAGGAACAGAAGCTAGTAAGGTGAAAGAAGTTGGTTGACTTGAAAGGGACAGGTAGGTCAGTCAATACAAGCATTTGTTTATGAAGCTGTTTACAACTGTTTCATTGCCATAACTAGGACAATACCTTTTTTAAATAACTAACATAGCCTTGCAGAAGTTTTCTAGATGTTGCTGCAGCATGTCCCTTTTCTTTGATATTCCATCATCTGCTGTGGACATCACCTACTTGGGGGAAAAAGAAACCAAGGTACACAAACAAATTATTAGTGCTTCCTTGGGTGTGCTCAGCTCCTTCTTGAAGTTCAGTAGGAAGCTGTGGCTGGTTTATAGTTCCAGAAGTTGGTGCACAACCCATTGCTAGTTGGGTCTGAAACTGTTGGCAACTTGATGACTTTGTCTATTCAGTCCTTGGTGTGCTAAACCTGCCCTTAAGTAGCTTGCTGTCGTACACTGTTTCTCCACTCTAGCATGAGCCTGTGGCTCTTACTTCTTGTTTAGATTGGCTTCCTCTACCATCCTACCTTTGTCCCAGTAGAGGAAGAATTGATATCAAGGAAAAGAAGACCCATAATGTGGCAAAATAGCAGCACAATTTAAAACATTTTAAAAAAGGGGGGAAGGGTATTCTTTAAACCTTATAATGAACACCTTTGATAACAAGGTCCTTTTTAAAAAGGCCTGTGAACAATGGACCTAAACTCTTGTAGGACTGAAGTTTTTAGTTTCCCATTTTGATTTTTTTTTTCCTCAAGTATTTTTATAAATTGTTGAATCATTTTGGGTGATGTTTTCAGGCAAAGTAGCCTGAACTGCTCAAAAGACAGAATCCTTCCAGCTGATAGCGATTAATTGCTTGAAAGAAGCAAAGTTTAATGAATTAATAGTCACAACTAAAAGCTTGAAGTGTGTGACAGGACTGGGCACCCATTAAGAATGAGCGTGCAGTGACCTGACTTCCTAGGCGCTAGTGCAAATGCTCTAACTTCTGATTTCCAGTTTGAGTTTATTAATGAGCTCTTTATTTATCTCTGATGTCATGCCAAGGTTGTATTTTAACACAAAATCTTTGCTCTGGGACAGACAAGCCAGGTTTTTCTAGCTGTTCTTTGGTAAAGTTCAGCTCTTTGTTCTCTTCCTTAATTCTGCAAGAACACAATGTGCCCATCTTTGCACCAAACCTGCCTTTTGAAGGTGGATAATCTGAATTGCACTCAACTTTGTTCAGTGAGGCATCAGACATACAGAAGAACATACTGTTCGCTCTTCTCCCTGTATCAGAAATCTCTCCTGCTGTGCCCCACATCTGATTTGCCACTTTTATTGCTCTTAGTCATTCTGTGCTCAGTTATGAGCAACGTTTGGCAACCTTTGCATAAGATGCTATTGCCGTCCCTGCCCTGCAGAAGGGTTTAAGTTGGCATGGTGACTCATGTAGCTGTCGGCTCCCTGTCCTGGGAAAGAGAATTAGTATTTCTTCTAGGGAGATAGCTGGCTATTAGGTTGCACCCCTGCGCCTTCTTTGGAGTGTGGCAATCCTTTATCAGGTTGGGTTTTGAAAACACTGATCAGTTGAATGTGTCTCATTGAAGGACAGAGACTGAATTTCTGAATTGGCTGTCAGGCTGATACAACATTGGCACATAGGAAGATTACCATTTCGTGAATTGCCGTGAGATCCTCATGTCTGTTCTCAAATTTCAGAATTGCTGAGACAGTAGGAAGAATGCTCTAAGACTGAGCTTCTTTTTGCATTTCAGAGTTTTCCTACTGGAGGAGCCAGACTTTCAAAGAACAAGACGTTAGTCAGATTTTAGTGGGGGAAAAGAAATCCTTTCCCTTGGCATAGTGCCCTTCTTCACCAGTCTGCAAGACTGATGTAAGGTCTGACAGGATTGAAGGCTTGGGCAAACTGGTGGTGCATGAGGAGTCTTGGTGTGCTTGAAGGTTTTCTAAGACAGCATGTCAGCTAAGGGGTACAAAGAGCTTAGACAGTGCACTGCAGCGCTTTTGTGCAGTGGTCTACTGCTGAACACAATCCTGTTTTTCAGAGATGTCCTGTAAACCTCCCTTTGTCAGTATGCAGTTTGTCTGGTTTGCTGTGTACAGCCATTATGCTGTTGGTTGCTATTTGGCTTATTTGCAGAACAAGGCCTACTTGGAATGGGAATTTTCTATTAATGTAATATGTATTTAGACTACTCAGTAGTTGCAACTATGATAGTGCATGAAACACACCTTGTCTGCTCATTGAATTGCATGAAATACCACATGCTTTCCCATCCTGTGATTTGTCTTTTATCCCCATCCTCCTTCACAAAATCCAGCCAGAGTTACAAACCTGTCTGGGTTGTAAAGGATTGTTCTTGCACAATCAATAGTTCATGATTATAACCTGTGATTAGGCTGCATTCCAGGAGATGTGGATTTGGACTCCTCATCTTACTTGATCGTACAGCCCAGTATGGAGATGACAGTAAATGTAGGTTTTTCTGCTTCCTAGGAGAGAGCTCTAACAGCTGTGCATTAAAGTGAGTAGTGCCTTTCTCCCTCCTACCCTCTGCTAAAGCACCACTAAATAATTAGATGAGTGCTTTTGAGAACCAGGGTTTGCATTTCTCAACAGAAATTGCCCAATTATTGACAGCACTGCCACAGTCATGCACAGAGGAGTGAGTGGCAGTGGTCTGAGACCTGGAGCTGTCATCCTTCTGGAGTAAGAGAGGAGACTTTAGAGGCAGTCAGCATTGACCTATGTATTTTTTTTTCCTGTTTCTGTAAAAGTAAACAGGAGTTTACAGCAGCATTCTAGGTGAGGGAGGGGTCAGGAAGGAGAGCTGCTGAGGTGTTCCCATTTGTGCCCTCCACTTCATTCATGTTTGGCTGTTAGGGGCTGTAGAGCTCTCAATGCACCATCTCCAAATTGCTCCAGCTGTAATTACTAAGATTTATGCTTTCCTTCCCCTCACAGGAGCTGTTGCAGTCGTTGTTGTGGGTCACATAAAAACATCCTGGGCAGTGTGGGGTGAAGTGGCACTTACCCTGTTCTCCTTTCTTATTGCTGCTGCTGTGTATGTCATGGACACTGTTCATAACATCTGGGTGTGCTATGCATCCTATGTCGTCTTCAGAATCATCTACATGATGCTAATCACAATAGCAACGTGAGTATCTCTGTAACGTAAACTGCTCTCAAGGTTACAGCTGGTGTGAAAGCAGTGCCTTTCCTGTGTAACAAGAGTCTGTTGCAAGGGTTTGTGTTGTGATTCAGGTTGGAAACTGAGGCATGGATATATATTTGGCTGGCAGTGTGCCCAAGCTTAAAAGTCTTGTGACACTGAAGTGACTACTTCTAAATATTAGATAGTGCTGATTGCTAGGGGGATGTTTTTCATAAACATGGCTGAAGTGTTAACAGATGAGGAAAGGACAATGCTTTGCCTGAACTGAAGCATCAACTTCCCCTAACCTGTAGGAAAACTACTTCAATGTTATTTGTCACTTTGGGGAGGAAAATGTAGCTGGTTTTGAAGCACAAAATAACTCCAAGACAGCTCAAGCACAAGAAGAGGGGTGATGCTCAAACTGGCAACAGCAAAGGGAGTTCTGGTTAGAAGGGTGCAAAAAATTACAGGCCACACAGCAACAGACTGAAGCTTTGAGATTGCCAGCTGCTCTCTGGGGTCAGAGTGCATTGCATCTTTTCACGTGACAAGACCCTTTACATCAGGCAGCAGGGCTGCTTCAGTGACACTGAAACCCACAGAGTTCCCTTAGTGGTGGGTTGTGTTGTTTTTTTGCTTTTGAAAAAAGGGGTTGCATGTGTCTGTGGGTGTCTTCTAGCTTCCAAGTTAGTCCATCGTGATCCTATTTAGAAAAGGACACTATCTGTGCAAGGTAATTTAGCTGTGGAAAATATGAAACCAGTCAATGTAACTCCTCAAGTTGCATAGTTGTTCTGTCCAGAAATGTTCCTGCCATTCATGCATTCCTCTGCTCTTTCCCTTATGTTTCTGGTCATCCCTTTCTTTCCAGGTTCCAGATTGCTACAAATCTCAGTGTGGAGCGGTATGCCCTAGTGTTTGGGGTCAATACTTTCATTGCCTTAGCACTTCAGACTCTGCTCACTGTGATTGTTGTGGATGCCAGTGGGCTTGGCTTGGATATCTTCACCCAGGTATGATAAATGCTTTTACGTTTATTGATGGGAGGTGGGGAAAGGAGGAAGATAAACCAAGCTGTAAAGCTGCTCAGCTACCTGTTTCTGGGTCAAGAATTTGGCAGAGAAATAACCACTGAATCCTGACATTTTAGAAGTGGAAGGGAACTAATTTATTTTATTAACATTCCTATAAATCTGGAAACTGCTTGGTTTAACCACTTCTTTTTATTTTCTTTTCCTCTTTTCTGCAGTTCATGATTTATGCCTCTTACTTTGCGGCCATCTCACTGGTGTTCTTGGTCAGTTGCATCTGCAGTATTGTGGGAGCTTACAGAAGACAAGAACAGGCGCAAAGCAGATCTCCTGAAAGCCAGTAGTGCACTAAGCAAAGACTCTTGGTGACTACATATGAAGATTTAGGTCTGTTTTTAATCTCTGCCTTTTCTTCCCAAGGCAATCACCTTAATGGTATATGATCCATATTTATACTATATTAGTAGCACATTTTAGAAGGTAAATATATTAGCTCTTACGTAAGTAAGAACAAATATCTTCTTTCTAAAATGCCTTTTGTTCTTCTGTTGCATGTATGGGATGTGCAGCAAAGAACAGTAAGTTCTCTCAAAGAATGAGAACTTTGGGAGGTTTTAGTCTAACACTGTCCATCTGCAGACAGTTTTGTGATTGTCTGGTAACCTGCTGCTCTCTCTCATGAGGTGCTGCTACAGGGCAGAAATGAGGGCACACTAACAGACCTCTGTGGAGAGCCCCAGGCCTGGGATAGGAGGTGGCCTGGGGACTGTGCTCCGCAGTGTGGCTCTCAGTGAAGCTGCCCTGTGATGCTGGATGCTCTGTTTTGAGGACTGGTACACTTATGTTTCTGAATACGCACATGCTTCCTTGAGGAGCTTGTACTGTTTCTCCTGTTCCTGTCTGTCATACCTGCTGCCAGAGGTTTACTTTAGCTGATCATGGTGCTTCCCCAAAAACAAAACTATGTCCTGGGGCAATTTGTAGCACTGGTGGATGGGCTGTTAGCAGCACTACTTGTTCCACAAAGGCCTGTGCCCAGGAAGGACTGTAACTGGAGGGGAAACTTAGAGGGAGTTGAAATAGGCAAAATGCTAATCCAAGGTACCCTTGAATAACTTGGCCTTTGTCCCTTAGGGCTGCAGGTTCCTATGATTACAGGAGTTATTGCCTCACAACCCACGGGCTGGACTGTTTCAGGGGTGGTGTGTGTTAGCATAGCACTGAGAAGGACGGTAACTCACAGGATTTTAAGCTGTTCTTTGTGCCCTTAGAGAATTGTGGCTCTGGTGATTAAATTGACACCTTCAATTGTGGTAGTTAGCAGAATGACTGCCTGAGGCTTTGAAAAATGATGATTTATGGGTTTGTCATTTTTCCACTGTTATTTTAAAATGCCTTTATGCTTCTGGTGGGTCTCTGTCCACTAGTTCTACCTCTTCTCTTCACATAAGCAGAACAATGAATGTTTAGAGTGGGCAATTTTTTTGTTTTCTCCAGTTTTGTCCAGTTTAAACAATCTGGGACTTGACTCATATCGGTTTTTAAAAATAATTTATTTTTCCAAATTGCTTCAACACTGAGGAGGAGTTTTACAGAGTTGTCCTGGGATTGGGCACCTGGATACTCAGGCAGCATGACCAGCACAGCAACAAATGCCTATTTTCTGTGCAGGTTGTGTAAGGTTCTGTGCAGGTTCTGTGCCTGTTTCTCTGCAGGTTGTAGTAAGTTTAAGTGTACAGGAGAGCTAGCAAGGGAGAAGGTGCAATGCAGCCTTTCCCTCTGTGCCTTCTCTGTGTGTTCGTTAGAGCTCCTTTCTTCTTTCAGCTGAAGAAGCAGCTTTGCTTCATCACCTGCTTTTAGTGCCAAGGAGATTTCACAGTATTGGGGTTGGGAAGGTGTTTTCCTCCTGACTGGGATATTTCCCATCACTTTCTGTGAGCCTCAGCCTTTACTACACAAGGTGCATGATTAATGTGTTTGGCATCTGCTGCCTGGGATCCAGGGAGCCCTTCCAGGCCAGCTGCTCAGGGGAGCCCACTCCCCAGAAACTTTTCTTTCTGCATGCTGCCTCTTGAAACAGCCCCCTAAAGAGGGGCTCAGCTGCACTGGCATTTACACGTGTAAACTTAACTGCCTTATCCTGAAATCGAAACTTGAAGCCACCCATGTATATATTCCTTTCTCTGTGGTTTTTTGTTTTTTAAAAAAATAAAATCTGAAGCCATGAAATGCTAGCTGATGAGCTGTCCTGGGACAGGGATGGTCTGTCTTTTGAGTTCCTTGGTCTGATGGCTGTTGGAGCAAAGCAGGGGGAATGGGTGCACAGCACTCCTGTCAAGTGACCAAAAGGAGCAGCTCAATTTTAATCATACTTTTCATACAGAGATCAAATCTTTGATGGGGAACAGCCCAGTTATTTTAAAAGCAAGTCACAAATTAACTAATGACTTAGAGCAGTATCAGTGATTTTTGCACCAAAGTAATGAATCTGTGGCAACTACAATAGAAAGGCTTGTTGGGTTGTCTATGTCTTCAGGCCCACAAGGTATGGAAGCCACACCTAGATGTCATTCAGGTTCTGAGCTCTGCTGTTGCTGTGGTGATGAGGTGACTATAGAGCCTGATAGGAACTGGATGCAGAGTTAACAGTGATGTCTAGGAAAATCTGTAACCATGTGGACGTTGTTGGTTTCTAATGAAACAGCTATTTTTGTTAAATAAAAATACTCTGAGCCATCCTGTGTGGAAAATGTTTTTTCTCTATTTTGATTCCCTGCGGATCCATCGCACTGCTGCTGCAGGTTGTTCTGAGCATCTTTGTAACAAAGAGAAAAACAATTTAGAACCAAACATGTTTTTAGAACAAAAAGAAGCAAGGCTTCAAGAAGCTGATAGTTGCTGGCTGGCTTGTGTAGGTTTGTATAACTCTGTGTGAGTGTCTTGTATTGGGGATTCTTAACTGCTGAGCAGTCCAGAAGCACTGCTCTAATTCCAGTGCAGACTGGTCAGCAGAGGGAGATCATCACTCACCAGTGCAGGGTAGCCCTGGTGAGGGTGCTCCTGTCTAACTAGGGGTGACAGTACGGGAAAGCAGGCGTAGGGTTGCCATGCAGGAGGACCTTTCTACTTACATTGACCTAATTACAAAATTGATGCCTTAAAGGAGAAATGCTGTAAGCCCCCGATGCTGGCACACCCTGCCTTGGAAGACTCTCCTGTGCTGTGTTTCTAGAAGATATGGATTGTACCTCATAGTACAGGCTAGGTTGGAGGGCACAGTGGTTTGTGTGGGTAGTAGCCCAACAAGCCCTGTGCACAACACCAAAAACAAAAGAAAAGGGGTGTTCTGGGGAGGAGAGGGGGAGGGCAGGCTTTCTTACACATGCTTCCTTCAGAGCTTTATTGCTGAAGGACTGTTTGCATGTCAGGTCTGTTCTGAATTTCATTCATCTGCCTTCCCTGGGTGAATACAGGAGTCAGCTGTGGGGGGATGAGTTTCTTGACAGTCAGGGATTAAAATCTCTGCATATGTCAGGAATATAAGTAGTAGGTCATACAGGTAAAGCATTACCCTTAAGGTGGGTTCCAGTGTTTCTCATCTGGTGCTGGTGAAAGGCTGCTCTCTCTTGCAATTGAAGCAAGTCCACGTGAACTGTGGCAGTCCTTGCTCCTCCCATCAAATCCTGCCACATCCTGGACAGCTGAGAGCTGAAAGGGGCACACAGCTGCTGTGAAGGAGCAGAAATTCTGCGCTGGAGATAGAGCACGCAGTGCCGTTTGGTGGAGATGAGATAAACACTACACACGGCTGTCTGTCTGGGATGCTGGGGCTGTTTCTTTGTTCCAGTTGATGCTGGGGGCTGCTGGAGGTGAGTGTTTCAACTGAATCTCTGTCCTGCACTGAGCTTGCTGTGATGCTGGTAGGATGAGGTGTAGTTCCTGGGATTACTGCTACAGCGAGGGACTGGGTGCTGGGCTTGTTCTGCCCAAAAAGCAAGGAATAGTAGGAGCTGCCAGAGACTGCTGTTTCAGGAGCAGCACCCACTGCTGTCCCCCTGGGCTAGCAGTGGCTCTGAGAGTCCGCCAGGGCAAGGCAGGGTTGTGCTCAACCCCTGGTGTGGCTCTGTGCATGTGTGACACAGCCGAGTACTCTGGCAGTGCTCAGGGAAAGGGAAGGGCTCTGTATGGAAGCCGTTGTGTTTTCTTCTCTATCAGTGTGATTGTAGCTAAGTACTGGGAAGGAAAGAGGGACTTTGGCTATGGAAGGGGCAGGAGACTGGATGCTCTGAACGCTGTTCCCAGTGGCTTTTGACAGTATCAACTGTTTCCTACACTATATAAAAAAGGTGTTAAGGTGCTTGTTTAATGTTGCTCTGGAAGTGTTACGCAGCCTTTGTTTGTGAAACACACTCACTCACTGTCCATGAGTCTGTTCCCTGAACACAGTGTCTGATGCATTAGTGACAAGGAAAACAGCAGCCAACATGCCGGGGTCTGTCCTTGGAGCCCTGCACTGCTTTACTGCTGTTTTTGTTGCATTTTTCATAACCATGCTCTGCAGCTTCCTCACACATGGGAACATCTGAAAACCAACATTTAATGACATATGGGTTAATGAATGCATAGATCAATTTTGACTGACTTAAATCATTACGTTATTATTCTCAAACATCACAGCTTGACATCCCAACAATAGGGTCTAATCCTTGTCTTAATCACGCTGATTTGTAATTAGTCACATAAAGCATTTCTTGTGAATTAAAAGGATAGCACTGGCTTTTAAGATGAAGGATGGTCTTACAATAAAAGCAGAGCAGAAAGCCTTGGTATTGTACCCAATTCTCTGTATTTTAGACTGCTATGAACTTGTCAAAATGAAATGTGGAAAATCAGAAATTCAGCATAGTGCCTTCAAGGGTGGAATAACTGCGTGCCCTGGGTGAGGTCACTGGTTGAAATTTTGCCAGGTACAGCAGGAACTATTGCCAAGCAGGTAACTGAGCATTATCTCTGGTAAGTGTAAGGGAGACCTGCCAGGCCATCAATGTCAAAACCTGGTTTTCTTTTTCACTGTATGGTGTAAAATGAGCAGAAGCCCTGAGGTCATGGAGTCCAGCCTCCTCCTATGGCATGTGGCCTATGATGACAGATGTCTTCAGAGAACTCGTGAACCCCACCTTGAAGGGGTTCAGCTTTTCTGTCCCATGTGACTTCGAGTGAAAGGGTGACCCTACTTGAGTTACTCTGAGAGTTACCAAAGCTCTGGCTTTGTGGCTGTTTCATGCCTGTGTTTTCTTTCATTAGCATTAACCCTTTAATACAGGGGAGGTGCTGCCCTCTGAGGTGTATGGCCTTGTAGGCAGTCATCCTTCGCTTTGCCAGGCCAGTGTATCCAGAACTTGGGGCCATGACAGTGTGATGGGCACCATGTCAGTGCTGCCATGAGGAGAACTCCCTCCCTTGCTCTCTCCCTCTTTCGCCCCAGAGGGATCCATGCTACTGCAGCCCTGGCTGGTAGAAGAGCTGAGCAGGGTCGTCTCCCAAAATTCACTGCTGGGAAGCATTTTGTGATGCTGAGTGAACTTTATCACCCTGAATGGCTGCTGACAGCTGCTTGCCCTTGCAGTGAGCTCTGTGGGAGTCTGGTGGTCACAGAGCTCTTTGGGGACCTGCTGGCCTCAGGGGCACAGCATCCATTACCAGTGGGGTAATCCCTAGAGGTTCTCCCTAGAGGAGACTGCAACCTGCCACCTCCCTCCAGCTCCACTGAGGAGTCTGATCCTTCTCCCTATGCCAGCCCTCCTGACTCTGCAGGTAAATCAGGGTGGGGTTTTTTGGCTTTTATTTTTTTTCTTTTTCCCAGATGGGAATTAATTCAGGGCATTCCTGTTTGGGGTTTTTGTTTTGTTTTGTTTGTTTTTTTTCATTTCCAAGTTCAAGGAGCAGTGTGTGGTTAACACAGAGAGGTGTGCCTCTGGAGATTCAGTCTTGTCTTCATTAGTGGTGAGGCGCTGGAACAGGTTGTCCAGAGGAGCTGTGGATGTCCCAGCCCTGGAGGTGTTCCAGGCCAGGTTGGATGGGGCTCTGAGCAGCCTGGTCCCGTGGAAGGTGTCCCTGCCCACGGCAAGGGGGTTGGAGCTTCCAGATCCTGTTCCAACCCAAACAGTTCTATGATTCTGTGTCTAACAAAAGCCCACATTCTGACACTGACACTCTTGGGCTTATCCGATTGCTCATTGCCAGCCGGAGCACGATGAATAATACAACACGCAAACCGAGGCTGCTCCCTGAGGAGTGCATAATTTAACAGCACCAAAGAAGGCTTTCGGCTGGACAGGGAGAGCCGCCTGCCGCACTCCTGCCCCTCTCCTGGTGGGGTGTGTGTGCCCCCGCTCCCCTCAGCGCTCTGCTTCTCCAGAATTTCCAAGCCGTAGGTGGAATTGCGCCACACGGAAAAGGAGGCAGGGCGGCGACCCGGCGAGGAGGCCCGTCACCATGGCAACGGAGCGGCGCGGCCCGGCCTGCTCGCGGGCGCCAGGCTCTGCGGGAGGCGGCGTTTGTCCCTCAGCAGCCGCCGTGGCGCTGGGCGGCCCCGCCGCTGCCACGGCAACCGCAACTCCCGGCGGCGGCAGCTCCTCGTCCCCGGCAGGGAGCGGCGGCGCCTGGCGTGTCCCAGGGGAGCAGGGAATGCTGGTGAGGACGTTCCCCACCGCCTCTCGTGGAGCTCGGGTTCGTGGGTCTGTGTGTGTGTGTGTGTATGTTTTAGTGCAGAAGGACAAAGTGACAGAAATCCGTCGCTCTGTCCCGCCTTTTGCTGTGGCTCTGCCTGAGTGTAACCGCGTAGAGATGTGACTGAGCAAATGGTCACAGCGCACACCCCCCACAGACACACCCCAAGTGGAACAGAAGCAGGGGTAAATGAAGATTTGAGATTTCCTGAATACTTTCGGTCCCTCTTAATGTTCAATCACTTTATTTCATAATATCCACAATAGAATAGGGGCTGATTTAGGATTTTCTGGTGCCCCCAAGGAAGGACATGGCATAAGAAGGACGTGGAACTGCTGGAGCAAGTTCAGAGGAGGCCACGAGGTTGGTAAGAGGACAGGAGCACCTTCCCTGTGGAGACAGGCTGGGAAGGTTGGGGCTGTTCAGCCTGGAGAAGAGGAGATTGTGTGGAAACCTCATTACAACCTTCCAGTACCTGAAGGGACCCATAGGGAAGCTGGAGAGGGTCTCCTTGTCAGGAACTGCAGTGGCAGGACAAGGGGAAATGAGTGGAGACTTGAAAGAGGGGAAGTTTAGGTTAGATACAAGGAAGAAATTCTTTACTGTGAGGGTGTTGAGACACTGGAACAGATTGACCAGGGAGATGGTGGATGCCCCATCCTGGAAAGTGTTCAAGGCCGGGCTGGATGGGGCTTTGAGCAACCTGGTCTAGTGGGAGGTGTTCCTGCCCATGGCAGGGGGAGGTGGGACTAGGTGATGTTAAGGTCCATTCCAACCCCTTAACATTCTATGATTCTGTGAAACAAGTCATTGAATTGGAAGTTCTCTCTTCAGCCATGGCTACTTTATCTTAAAACAGGAAAAGCTGATTTGTATGCTGCTCCCCATTATTACACTTCACCTAAATGAATTAAACAGCATGTTCAATGGGCTTGTATTGAGTGCCATAGACTGATGTGAACATGTTTTTTTAAAGGCACAATTCATCTGTGCAGCTTTTGCATCTGCTTATCATTATAATGAAATCACAGAGTAATAGTTGTTTTGTGCTGAATATGCACTAGAGCAAAATAATCTCCATTAAGATCCCAGGTATGTCATCACCCAAACCAAGGATACTTGTTAAGAAAGGGGCATTTCCCAGCAAACATCATTACATGTCATATGAAGTGGTGCAGGAAAAATGATGGAAATAGATGTACTATGGAAAGCCAAGTCTGAGTGAGCTCTTAAAATTTAAATTCTGAGAAATCTAGTGTGAATGAGTGATTCCAGTGGCAAGTGGTAGCTATAAAGATGTTAAAAAACTGCCAGATTTTCTTGAACAACATATGGATCAGAGAAAATTAAGAGCTTTTAAAGGTTTCTGTACAATTTTGCAGCAAAGAATGCCCAGATTTATTACTACTCTAAAACAAATCTTGACTAAGCTTTGAGGCTTAAAAGAACATCACTCTTTACCAGCATGAAATATTGAGTTCTGAGGAGCAGAGCTGGTGTTCCTGAGAATAAATAACTGAGAACTCAGAGATGCTCATCAGAACTCAAAACAAAAGCTTGGAAGAATTTAAGCAACATCTGCTGCATGAAAGAGTTTTTACAAAACTTGTAGACAGATTTGAAAGTCCAGGTGCAGCCCTTGTTGATTCTCTGGTTCTGTGATTCTTGTCTGGAAGGGCAGGATGGTCACACAGCAAGAGCTGTCTTGCTGTTCTAGGACCATGCAGAGTCAGAGCTCTCTCTTACACCCCATATTGTCTTGCCACTTTTTCATATCATAGAATGTTAAGGGGTTGGAATGGACCTCATTAAATTGTGACCTTCTTGCCATGGGCAGGGACACCTTCCACTAGACCAGGTTGCTCAAAGCACCATCCAACCTGGTCTTGAAGACTTTCAGGAATGGGGCAGCCACAATCTCCCTGGGAAACCTGTTCCAGCGCCTTAGCACTGAAATAGCAAAGAATTTCATCCTAATATCTAACCTAAAATTCCCCTCTTTCAATTTGTACCCATTACTCCTTGTTCTGTCACAACAGTCACGATCTTTGGTATATTGAAAATGACACTGATTAATCCTCCTAGAGGCATGTAGAAGTGGCACCTTCCAACCTACAGCAGATAGTACAAAAAGAGCAGGAACTTTTGAATAATTGATGTTTTCTTCTTCTGTGCTGCCTTTGTAAAAAGTAATAAATTATTGAAGGAATTATGAGGGGCTAAAGCTATAAACAGAGCAGAATCAGGTCTCTAGGCTCGTGAGTGTGTCCACATCTTTCAACTTTTGTGTGTTTGATGCCTTGTACTGAGTGAGCTGAGCTGAGGGGCAGCAGGCAGTTTGGAGCACCAGGCCCTGGAATTTAAGCAGTCCTTCAGGAGCTGGTGGCACCTGTGTGCTATGCAGTACAAATACTTTTTAAAGGATTCAGTCGTTATAGTGGCTCATCTTCAGTTTTGTCATGAGCATGATTATATTGAGCCTGATTAACAGGTTAATGAGTATTTAAAGCTACAGAGCATTTAAACAAGAGAAGATACAAACAAGGTAAGATACAAGCAAGAAGGTTGTAGCACTTCAAGCTAACATAAAATAGTGGTCTCTTTGTCCAAGCACAAGGCTAACTGTTAAGAGGTCATGAGTTTAACCTCTGTCAAAGACATTAAATCACCTTGATTTGCTTTAACTCGAACCTTCTCCCAGTAGCCAGAGCTGGAAAGGCCAAAACCATTCATGTTTATGAGCCATTGGTTATCCTTAGTCCTGAGGTGCTGGGCACTGTCTAACATGCTTGTATTAATATTACTCACAAGTTTGATGTGGGTGTCACAAGACATATCAGTATTTGTTTGTCACCAGAGTTTGAAAACGTTTTATTCCCTCTCCTTTTTGCAGTATTACTCTTAACACATCACCAAAATGAGTGAAAAGGAAGCTCAAAGAGATCCTGATCAACAGGAAGATCAAGCAGATGTGGGTGATTCAACAGAAAATGCAGAATATGAGGATGATTTTGAAAAAGACACAGAATGCCTAACTGATGAAGAAGAAAAACAAAAACTTGGTGAAAAAGAGGTATTTGTTATATTAAATGCTGGTTGTGTTATTTAGAAGACAAAATTGAGTAATATTTGGAATCATAGGCACAAATTCAGTATTGCCTGAAATGTGTACATGCATTCACTGAATTTTGACAAAGAAGGTTATTTGGAATTACAGTGAAAAACATTTCAGCAAACTGGTTATTTTGGTTCTAATGTGCATAAAGCAGAATATTCAGTGTTCATTAAAAATGTTACTTTTTTTCAAAAGTACTTCTGTACTCCTTTAAGTGTTTGTATAACACTCATTGTGGTTTTATTCTGTCGCTAATCACTTTACTGGTTAGTTAAACTTCGTGTGAATGTAAACATGAAGAAAATGAAGAGACTTGTTAGTGCCAAAAAAGCTGTTAGTTACTATTTGACAACCTGGTTTAGAATGCAGGTAGTTTGTACTGCTCTTCTCTCTCATTGTTTCTTTCCTCTTTCTTTGATAACTGTTCTTTGTTGAGAGAAAAAACTAGTTTATTTTAATTTTTTTTAGAATCCTGAAAAAAAGGAAGAGGATGTTGAAGCAAAAATTGTTAAAGCTGCAGACAACTTTCAGGAAGACAATGAAGAAATGAAAGAAAATCTAGAGCAGCTTTCAGAGACAGATGTAAACGTGAAAGTGATATACTCTAATGAAAAATATTTGCAATCCGGGTCAGATATTGAACAGGAGGACCACGAATCTGATGCTGAGAGAGAAAGCTCTATCCAGGAATCCAGGCTGGAAAATGAGCAGGAACTGGATGAGGGAGAGGATGAAGAAATAAAGCGTTATGTCTTGGAAAAGATTGAAGAAGCCAACAAAGAGCTGGAAAATCAGGCTCCTGTGGATGCAAACAGAGAACGGAAATTAAAATTTGAGGATGAAGTGAATCTTCAAGCTCCTCCTCCAAGAGATGCTGAAGTTGGTAAAACTGACCTTGCAAGAGGAGACGTTTCAGGTGGGTTGTCTCAGCTGAATATTTCTGATGATAAGGGACAGAAAAACAAACCACTTTCAGAACATGCTGGCTTAGGTAAGGAGATGACAAATGGTAAAATTCTAGTCAAAAAAGATGGAAAGTTTGAACTCTTAAGTTTATGTGATATTGAAAGTCAGGGCATTTTGGCCCCAATAAGTGTTTCTTTTACAGATATTGAAACTCAACAGACTTCAGAATTCGTCGGTTCTTTGCCTACTGCCTCTCAAGCGAAAGAAATGCCTCCATCTGACTCTAAGCAGCAGCCAGATTCGGCTTTGAATGGTGCACAAGATCTGGAAAAAGAGAAGACTGAGTCTGCAAACATACCTGTGAAAAGCTCCACTTACAGTCTTACTCCCAGACAAAAAGAATTAAGGAGGCAGATAGAACTAAGGAAAGAAAGACTGAAGAGAGAGGTAAATACATAGAGAAAAGTAAATTACAGTGACCATCCTATTCCTCTGCTCCACAAGGACCATGGGATCAGGGTATTTACACCATTCTTCCTTGATAAAAGAGGCAGCAATAATAGTTGTAATAACAACATAGTAATAATAATATCATAGTAATAATAACAACAACAGCAATCATAATAATAACAGTAATTATCTGGGGTTTGTATAGACTCTCTCAAAGCTCCTTTCCCAGAGTGGCATATGACCATGCCTTGCTCAGAGGAGAAATGAAGTATTTATTTAATATATCCTTCATAAATGGGCCTTCTTCTGTTATAGTTTTCTTACTGTTTTTGCTTCATGACTCTCTCTCTGCCTAGGTTCTCTTACAGTCCCACAGTTTATGGAATGTAGCACATGGTGTCACATCTGCACATATTATATACTGCAGTGCAGGAAGTTTACATTAACCACAGTAAGGCTGGGGCACATTTGGGTACTCAAGAAGTATGGATTGGGCAATTATCATATGGGAGAGTGTTCAGTCATAATATAATATGTACACAGCAGAGTGACTGTAAGAACCATTTTAATTCTTTCTCAACTCCTAACACAGAAAAAAAATATAATAAAGTCAGCCTCTGACAGCTGTAATGAGGACTTCAGAAATCTTTACCAGAGAGTTCAAAAATGGTGATTTTTTTTTTCTTCTTTTTGCATTATGATGATACAATTGCAAAAAGGTAAATTGATATGTGTGTTGCTCTATAAAAGGAGCATGAAGCATCTGCCATTTTTCTGTGCCATGATGTACTAATTAAGCTGGCTAAGTAGCTTCCAAGGTTACTTTCTATCTGTGGAAACAGCTCTAGCCTGCTTTATTTGAAAAGGTTGCTGAGGCTCAGCTTAGTAAGGAGGAGTATGAAATCTGATGAGTGATTGAAGTGTTTTCTTTGTGCACATAAGACTAGATCTCTTGAAATCATGCTCTCTGTATTTAATGTAAAAGGTAGGGTAGTGAGCGGAAGGAAGGTTATTTTCCTAACAGTTTGTGCTAAATTTCTTCCTTTGTTGGCTGACTTATGGAAAAGTAAGGATGTGTTACCTTATTTCTTCATTCTGGAGAGTGTGTGCTAAATTTCTTCCTTTGTTGGCTGACTTATGGAAAAGTGTTACCTTATTTCTTCATTCTGGAATGGAATTATTCCATTCTGTGATGGATTTCACAGGCATTAAACATTTCTTGACATTACTAGAATCTTTCTGCTTTATTTTGGTGGAGTTTCTTTCATTCCAGTAAATTAGAAATGGTAAGTTTGGAGGATATAAGGAAGTTGTGTGTAGGTGGGAGGAACATCTAATTGCAAGATTAGATTTCTTGAATTATTGAAATGAGTAGGGATTATAGCTTTTGTGTCAAAGAGAGTAAATCCTGGTAAAAGTGTCCTAATCAGCTTTCTGAAGCATTAATTGAAACTTTTTCTCCTCCTTGTACATACTTACCATTAGCTAAAATGTAATTAATAAGCAAAAGAAACTTTTCTCAATTGTGTAAATATCAGTTCATTTTGTACGCTTGAAAAAAGCCTGAAGCTATTAATACTCCTTAAGTAAATACATTGCAACTTCATGTCCAAAAAAGGTTCTTTTTTATAAGATGGTGCCTGCAGTCCATGTGTTGTTAAATATCCATTAGGGTTTAGTGATCCATCAAGCCTGAGAGCTGCATTTATTTTTAAAATATATCCATTTAAAGTGATTCTAAGCTAACCAGAGATATGGGGCAGACTTAATTTTAAGAGTTTTCACCTGATGATATTTGAATGTCTCTGAGTCGAGAGGTGTCATGGAAATAGAGGTAATCACAAAAAGGATTAGACTAAAAGTGTCTGAATATATCACAAACAGAAGCACTCCAAGCAATTTCTTCCTAAATGTTGTATCAGCTGTGATGCAGTCTTTGAGTATTCTTGTTTCATCTGTATTTTAGTGTGCCTCTCGTGCAATTCAAATGGCTTATTTATTGCCTGCAACAGTCTTTGCAGATTAAGACAATTCTCTTAAAAACTAAGTTTATTCAGTTTTCCTTCCACTTAAGGAAGAAGAAAAGAAAAGGGAACTAGAAGAAATGAGAAGAAGACAGAATGAAATGGTTTTTAAAGCTTGGTTACAAAAGAAGAAAGAACAGGTACAACAAGAAAAGCGAATTCGTCGTGCAAAACAGATGGAAGAGCTGAGCATCAAAGTAAGGTCTCCCTAATGTGGAACTGGGATCTGTAGTGCTCTTGTTAAATAGGAAAGCCAAATTCTAAACCTGCCTTCTTAGCTAAATGTATGAAAATTTACAGCAGTGGGATATATTCTTGTTACATTGTTTTCAGTGAAGAGGTAGACTTACAGATTTATGATTTATCTTAGCAGAGTGGCTTGCAATGTAGAAGCAGCACACATGAACTCAATTATAAATCACAGGGGTTACAGTGATGCTCCCATATACCAGGAGAAAGCCTTGATTGAGCTCTGAGTGAACAAGCAGCCAGAAGATTCTTTGGAGTATGTTCCTTACCATCAGAACTTGTTAGTAAGCAGTTAATGCACATGACCTGATCAAAACCTGGAGATTCAGATGCTGTTCTGAAGTTTTTCTGCCTTAAAGCGATGGGCTTGAAAAGCTAAATCCAGTACTTTTTTAAACATGGTGCTTTGAATGCTTGCTCACGTATATATTCTATGTCAGATTAGCATATGCTCTAGTGTGTTTATAAAGTATGTTTCATGGAGGGGAGATGCCAGCAGAATACAAAAAAAAACCCTATTATAATGTGATTATTATAAAGGTTATTTACCGATAACCCTTGTGTATACATGTCTTTTTTATTAATTAGGAGGTGCACAGGGATCCAGAAGAAGCCTACCAGTTATGGCTTAAAAAAAAGCACCAACAGTATGTGAGAGAAAGACGGATAGAAGTCTTGAGACGCCAAACTGAGGAAGTAGCCTTTTTTCCAAGCCCAGAGGATTGCGACAGAGCTTTTAGAGAGTGAGTAGGGTCATTCCTAAGGGACCACATTTGAAACTTGTGTAGTTTATCATCTCAAAATTGTACCTATCTTATGGTACATCTTTGATATTGAAGTTCTCATTGTTTTGGAGGGGCTTTTTTCTCCATGAATATGCCCTTTTAAACTTACACCCTAACAAAAATACATCAGTTCCTTGATGTTGTTTGTTCACTGCTGTGAAATTATTTGTCAGAACCTGAGCTGAAAAGAGTGAATTACTTTTGCTAAAAAAGGGATCTTTTCCTTGTTGCCTGTTCTGGAGCAACCTTGGGTTGATTCATTCCATGAATAGAGCATAAAGGTAATCCAGTTTAACAAAAGGGGGGAGGTGAAGGTGGGTACAGAAGCAGGAAGATTGGGGTGGGAAAGTAGTGCTTCCTGTGTTTGGGTGTGGCTGGCTTTTAGACTGTCTTAGCCACAACACCCAACTTCACCCTACAAGACGTGGTGGGCTCCAGTTAAGTGGGGGGACAAATCTCCTTTGAATGGATAATGTAAAACTTGAAATTACAACTGCCGGTACTTCTGGTCCTCTTTGTCTCTCCACAGCTGGCTGAGAAGGAAGAGAGAAGAAAAAGAAGCAGCAGAACTAGCTGCTAAAGAGAGAGCCAGGCAGCTTAGATTAGAAGCCAGAAGAGCAAGACAAATGCGGAATATCCACTATATTTAATTCAAAGCCCAAATCCTTTTGTTTCTCAGATCATTACAGTTGAAAATTTGATGTAGCCACGGAGTTCTTGGTGACAATCTTCTTAATTTTTATGGCTTGAATTTTTGTCCTTTACAGCTACTGACTTTTTGTGGTGTTTTTAAAGCTTTCAAGCAAGTTTAACAATTACCTTCAGTGACAATGATTTTACTATCTATTTATTTGTAATTTAGTTGAAAAGCCTGCTTTAATGCATAACTCAGGGATCTCCTTGGTTTAACCAAATCTAAATGAGTGCAAGATGTATATATGAGGGTGGCAAATACACATTCCCTTCTTTAAAAGGCACTTTATATTCTGCTCCATCGTGGATTCCTGGATGCAGGCTACTGTGTAAAACATTGAATTTTTGGTGGATTAGTATTGCTGTTTGATGCTGCTAGTGATTAAGACTGTGCAAGGTGTTATGTTGTTGGAAAATGATGTTTCTTGTATCACTTCCTGTTGATCCGTTGACCAGCTCTAGGACTGTGTTCTTTTAGGTTCCTGGAAAGTGGTGATTTGAATACTAATGTGTAGGTGATCGTGCAACAGGTTTTGAAACTTACTTCTGTGAGTCAAATTCAGTAGTGTTCTATTCCATGGAGTTAAAAGCTTGTGCAAATGATGACCTTTTTCCAGTAGTAAGGAAGCTAGGTTCCTTATATAAATGTCAATGTTTATTATAATAAATCTACCAAACGACACCACCTTACCCAGCTAAATTGTGAACTCTTGATAGAGAACATGCCAAAGTCACTCATGAAATCATAAAGTTAGTGAAGGAAGAAGAGCATTCTGTCCAGCTGTATGCCCCAACAGATTTCATGATCCTGGCATTGCTTTTAAATTTCTCAACATTGACAGTGTTTTCTGGGAGTAGTGCAGCAGACAGGAGTGTAGTAGATGCAAAGCAAATTTGCTGGTAGCATTTTTTTCGGTTATTTTTGGAGCTACTTACAGGCACATTGAGAGCACTGGTGTTGGACTGGAGGCTGCTCTGTTGCAGCTTTTGCCAGCATAGAGAGCAAGCACGGACACAAAATGAAAATTTCACATGCTAATGGGACATGTAAGTAACAGGTGCCTTCCTCCTTCCAGTACCTTTCCCTGACACTAAAGGCACGAAGAGCTTCCTGTGTCTAGCAAGCAAATCCAGGAGGAATGTTTGCAAAGGTGCACACACACCCCGTCTCCCTAATTGTAGAAAACTACAAAAGAGGTGCTTCTCTGTTCATTGCCTCACACCAGCAGAGTGAAGGGTTTTACAGCTCAATGTCATGTAGTTCCGTTTATACTACAGAGAAAACAGGGTCAGAAATGTGACTTCATTAAATCCAAAATTGCAACTTGAAAGTGTTATATTGCACTAAATATTTTATTTAGTTGTTGTTTTTGCAGTGGGTGTTCGGTAATTTGCACTGGTCACATGGTCTGTTCCATTTCCCTTCCACGCAAAAGCCCCAGTGGTAATGGTTTGTCCCAGGTTTATTCCTCCCCTTGCCCCTTCCTCACTTGGATCCCATTGGCTGTAGCCCCCTTCCTGCGCCCCCCTTCCCCTGAGCTTAAAGCTCCTGGGAGGAGACCCCCAGGTCTCCTTCTCTCCTGGGACACTGCCTCTTTCCCATCTCGGATCCCCTGGACTAATTCCACAACAAAGCTGTGGGATTTTTGGTCCTGAGAGAAGAGAGCCTCCAGTCTTTTACTTTGGTCCTTGTAAGGCTGCAAGGGGCTACAGTCCGAAGCTTGCCGGATTGGACCCAAATGCTCCAGAGAGACCAGCCTTTACAGGAAAGCAAGCAAAGGAAGTTTATTGTAACTTTCTCCATTTAAACCAAATCAGAGCCAGCAACAGCAAGAACTCACAGCTTACATATTCTGATCATGGGTATGAGATTCAAAGGAAAATTGGGTAAAAGCAACCATTTCAGAAACCTTTTCCCTAAACTAGACAGCTTCATATGGTAAATTTGGGTGTCAAACTAAGAAATTTAAATAGGCTTCTTTGGATTTAGCAGATTGTCTCCTAGAAGTTCTCTTCAAACCTATGTCAAGAACTTCAAATCTACATCAAGATTATAAAACCATACAAGTAAAAAAATACTTTTTTTTAACAGTACCAATGCAAATGTAGTGCTTATCTTCACCTTCCCAATAATACTCAGGAAGACCTTGGGCAAGGACTGAGTCCTAATGCCAAGCCAGGATTCAATGCTATGTACTAAAGGAACTAGGTCAGTCTGCCTTTGCTGAGGATCAGCTATGCAGCAGCTTCACTCTAGAAGCTGAAACAATGGAAAAGCCATTATTAAAAGCAGTTACTACTTATGTATTATAGCTAGAGTTCACTCAAGCTTTATCTCCTTCTTGACAGGAGGGCTGACATTGCACATACTCTTCCTTTCAGAACTTACAGCTATGAAGAATCATTGCACATACTCCTTTTTATGACTAAATTTAAAAGGCAGAACATAGACTTCAGGGCAGTTCATCACCCTGGCTAAAATTAAAAAAAAAAAAAAGGCATGTAACTGACCATTTATCATTACTTTATTTTTAAATTTAGGCATAACTGATCAGCACTTCATTTGCTTTGGTATGGTTACACTTCTGTCTCCCTCTAAAGGGAAATTCATTAAGATTTGCTAATAGGACTATAAATATCAATAGTCAAGAGCATCTCTATGCTCTATAAATTGGACCAGCATAATGTTTTTTTGTCTTGCCTTTTTATAAGAAAATAAGTAGCTTTCCCTGTTGAGAAATAGTAGAAGTATCCCAGAGACTACGGAAAGTCTCTGTCAGTCCCTAACTTCAAGAGGTAGGGAAGCAGAAACTGCACAATTTCCAATGCCAAACCTACTCATTATGGAAAAAGGACAAGGGAAGCCTGCTGAACATCAACTAGTGTAATTCTTCAGAAAGAGTGCATGTGCAGCTGCCTTGGCTGGGCTTTTAAAGGGCTATCAGCTCTCCTTGACAGTGATTGCAACAATTGAAGGTGACATCTTCATATCTTGTATATGGGTGAAAGCTTCCAATACTTTTCTTTGTAGAAAGGAAAGAAGATGGAGAAGTCTCAGAAAAAGAAACTTCTGTTGATGTCTCTGGACGTGCAGCTGGATCCAGTACATGCAGCATCTAAGGATGGAAAAATTGACACTGAAAATACTTTTATACAATTTAGTGTGCTTTTTCCTTCTCTAAGAGCTAGGAAGGATTTCTGCTCAAAAGCCATTTTTCATCTTTTTTTCCAACTTGAAAATATCTGTTTATCCAGAACCTTAATATAAAGATTAACATGCATCAAGAGTTCTTACCATTTCAGCCATTTTCTCAGCAGGGGTATTGCAAAACTCCACAGCTGTTGAAGTCTTTTTTGGACTGTTAGTGCAAACATTTCCTAGAAGATGTGAGCTTACAGCTTTGGCTAGCTTACAATTCACAGCTGCTAGCTCTGTTGTAGTGTAAGGCTGGGCACTAGGATAGTATGTCTGTTGTCTCCCCCACTGAAGAGAGACCATGAGCTCCTCCAGCAGCCTGTGCAGAAAGAAAAGAAGCACTGTTCGTGGGGTTTGTATCCTCTGTTGTATAATCAGCACCCAGCACACTTCAGAGAAATCATCTTTTCCCAAGGCTTACTACATAAGCTACATCTTAAACCGAAGAAATGGACAAAATAAAGTGTTTAAGAACAAGGAGACAAATGGGCTATTCTCCAAGGCAAGGCCTCACCAACACAGGACATTAATTAACACTTATTTGACATCTGGCAGAATAAGCACTGTAAAGTCCATGTAGGTAGAAGGATCTCTTCTTTGATATTTTGGAAGGAAACAGAGAAGACTTGAAGTCAAGACAGTAAGTGATTAAAGAAAGAAAGCCTGAGGATGTGAGGGATGTCAGTTCCATAGTTTATTACCCTTAAGACCTCAGACCTCTAGGGAATGAAGCAAGTATTCTATTACTTTTGCTCTTTTCATCTCTAAGACTGAAAAGTGACCATACCATACATCAGCATAACTGATTTTTGTTGAATATCACTGGATGAGGGGAAAGTTATTTGATTCTCCTCTAGCCTAAAATAAACTGACAAAAATGGGAGTTTGCACAGAGGTAGTCTGGATCAGAAAATCATACTTGTGTGTATCACTCATCTCTTGACGGAACTGATCGCGTTCATTCAGCAAGTCCTGGATTGCACTTTGTGCATCCCTGGTTTGGCGCTGAAGAATTGCTCTGGTATTGGTCAGCTCATCAGCCATCACCCTGCCAAGGAAATCTCCAGTCAGTATCTCAGTGCAAGTGAATAGCTTGAAAGTCACTTTTTTCTACTACAAACCATAATCTGTCTGCTCAACCTGAGTATTAAGCTGCTGTTCACCATCCCCTCCCCATGCAGAGCCTATAACAACCTAATTAAGAATAATTACTGTTCAACTACAGCCAACATCAGTGCAAGATTATGTTTTGACAGAGCTTAAACAATCTTAGGTCACTTAATACAAATCTAGTAAGAGACATTTCAAAACATCTTGGGAATGGTACTTGGTTGACAAGGATCCTGTGAAAGAAAAAGCTAAATACATTTTTCATTTACTAACAACTCTCACAATATGCTACAATCACATCTGTTCAGTCTTCTCTAAAAATGAAAGTTATGGCTATAGACTGCATTCATTTACCTCTTTGGCCTACTCAGGGGCAATCACCAGATGCCAGATAGGAGTGTTTAAGAGCTACAAAGGAGACAGCTGCTGTCACTTTTTGCTATGCCATGAGGCTTGGCACTACTCCTCCAGCAGGCATTTCAAACGCCTGTGATATTCCAAATGCAAAACCAGAATGACATTTAAACAACCACCAGTTAGAAATATGAGATAAAAATGAACCAGAATGTTACAATATTGAAGAGTATTTCTTTAACCACACTGCTGAGACTCACAGTTCTGATTTCAGAACTCCTCATAATGTTAAAAAAAACCCCAAGTTTGCCTAGTAACTCTTGCTCAGCTAGGACTTACAAGTACCATTACACCCTGTATGTTACACAAGTTCACCCCATATGCTGAAACTTCTCCAGCAAATTAAAGGGAGGAGACTGTATTCTATTGCCATTTCCTTCAAGCAGTAAGCTATTTTGTAATATGCATTAAGCATCATAATTCAGTCAGTTATGTCCAAGTATAATAGAAAATTAAAAATCCTAGAACATTATTTACAGTTCTGGTAAGACAACTAAGCAAGTTTAAAGTCATTGTCAAACGAGATTTTGACTTTCAGACCTGCTTTTATGGTCAAAGAAGTAACAGTAAGGTTCCGAGCAGTAACACAACCAGTGTTTGATAAAGCGTTCCCCCATCTCTTTCTTCTGTAGTAGATCCCTGACTCACTATAAGCAGAGCTCCTAAACACATCAGCTTCTTCTCCAATTTATGACTGTATCATACTGGAAGGGGGTTGGGGATGAAAATCAACTAACTACCTGTAAGTCAGCTGACCTAGAAGACATTTCTATACCCTAAACTGCATGTGATTTTATCAAAATTAAGAGCTTCTCTTGCTTTCTTGACAGAGCTGTAGTTGAGATTTTAGGAGGGTTAAGATTCACTGTATTCCTTCTGAAAAGCTGGACTATTCAGATTTACAAGGAGCTTACTTTCTTTATACCTTTCCTGTATTCTCAGATTTAAGAGCAGGTATCAGTATGGCTATTGTGGCTGTCCTCTGCATATGTAAGCACACTGCAATGAGTGTATGTGACGAAAGACTGAAGGAGAATGCTGTTAGGACAGCTCCATGAGAGGGAATACCTGCTTGCTAGAAACTTGCTTCTCCACACATCACATTGTATAGACATGCGCTCCAACTGTTCCGACAGCTGAGCCATATTCCGGCCCAGGACTTCGTTTTCTAGGATGAGCTGATTCTTTTCACGAGCCATCCGTTCAAAGTGATACTGCAGATCATCCCCAACAGAAGCAACAAGTAATTTCTTCAACTCCCGATTGACCTAGAATTAGACCAGACTCCCTTGTAACTATCAATAGAGAATAAACACTCCTAAGAATGCAGTGCAACTTACTGCAAATTGCTAACAGTGAATTGTCTTTCTCATTCCAGAATGGGACCTATCTAGGCAAGCACAAACACATGAGCCTAATGCATGTCCAACACATTCTTGTTTAAATTCTAACAGTCAAAGAGGAAGAATGAAAGCCTACTGCAGGAAACAAAGTTTCAGTAATATTCAACTCCTGAAACAGTAAGATAACAAAGGATTAGACAAGACATCCACAGGTGTATGAAATAGGAAGTTATAGTGAACCTTTCTAGGGCATAACATCTTTCACTTAGTGATTAAGGAGCAAAGTCTTCCTCATGAAAGATTCATTTCCCTGCAGCTATCTAGTGTGTTTCTCCCAGCTAAGTGTTTGACTCTTTCATCTGTTGTCAGAGAAGCAGCACTGGAATACTTTTATGCACTCCTACTCTATATCATAGCTGGTGAGTTCAAAAGGGAACTGATTGTTTCAAGGCTAGAGTGTCATAGCAGTTCTCTTTGGTCACATTCACAAACTGCTTCTACAAACCAAAACAGTTCAGCTGTGGGAGAGAAAACATCTTTAACTTCTTACCTCTGTCTGTATACGCAGCTGATTAGAGAGACCTTCTTTATCCTGTAACAACCGCTTTTCTGAATTCTTTAGCTTTTCAATTGCATTTTTCAGCTCTATCTGTTCTTTCTTGGGGTCTGTGGCTCCATCTGACTGATGGAACGTGTCTCCTTTATGTCCCACAGATTTAGCTACCTTAGCATTTTTAGTTGGAACGACATGGGTGATGGCTGCTTTGGGGACTAATATTCGAATAGCTTCAATCTCCACTGATTTATCTGCATGTACTTTCCCCAGCTGCAGAACTCCAGGACTCATTGAAGAAGCTGTCTTTTTATGGGGGCTGTGGTGGATGTGATGGCTTGCAGTGTTGGCTCCAGTGATTACTTCCACTCCTCCAGCTGTTTGCTCTGTTTCCATGCCATCTCCAGGTCCTCGAATGGGTGCTGGGGCATCATCAACTGAAATTTAGAAATTGTGGATTAAAAGTTTACCACCTTTCACTTGGTTATAGTGTCATTGTAAGTCTTCCCTTAATTTCTGTACTTTGGAGTTAGAGATTTTAACTGTACACTGCATGTGTCACATAGTCCATTGCAGCAGTGATTATCAAGCACAAGTCAGAAAATCATAGAATGGTTTGGAATGGAAGGGACCTTCAGGATCATCTTGTTCCAACACCCTTGCTGTGGGCAGGGACACCTTCCACTAGACCAGGTTGCTCAGCGCCCTGTCCAACCTGTTTTTGAACACTTCCAGGGATGGGGCATCCACAACTTCCCTGGGAACCTGTTCCAGTGTCTCAGCACCCTCACAGTAAGCCCTTAATCAAGTAAGTCCTCATTCAGATGTGCATTGCTCATTAACAGCAGCAGTACAAGACACAAACATTGATCTGAATTGCATTAATTTTAATCTCCTGCTGTCATACAAGATTAAATGCAGACACAAAAAAGAGCTTTCCTGGAAAAAAAAAATATTGACAACATTACTCATAGGCTGACAACAAAATCAGGTTTTGGGAGCTGGCAGAATCAGAGCAGTTTCATTTAAAAAACAAGAAGCAAATGAAAAACAGCTATTACCCAGAGAGCTACTGACACTTTCTGAAATTTAGACTTTTAAGTACTAACATGTTTTAGTTGCCCAAGTGAAGGTCAACAACCCAGTTGTTGGCTCCATTTCTGAACTACAGAATCCAGCATTCCCAGTAATGCTGCATTCTGCTCTATAGTCCCAAACATACCTGACATATACTGAAATTAATTTAAGACCACTGTTTTCAGATGAATAAATAATTATTGTAGTGCAGTGCAGTGTATTAATGGATTTCAAAAATGCTGTAATAATACCATTATATTGGTATTGGCCTTACTTTCAAGTTTGCTGAATCAGTACCAACAGGTTCTAAATACCAGAGGAAGCTGTCAGACAAGTGTACAGACAGATCACAGTACCAGTGACAAACTTATTTTTCAATGTTGAGCTGGATTAGAAAAGCTACGTTCAATTGCTGTTCCATCCAGGTAGCTCTGGTTTTCACTGCAAGAATGAAGTCACAGAATTACTTCCTCATAGCTACATAAAAGGAGTAAGTTTAAATGAAAGGAGCCTGGTATACAGTGTAACTCTGGTGTTTAGAATTCCAGTTATAGTACTTTTTAATCCAGTCTGTTTAGATGTCTTATGAACAACCTACCTTTTTCCAGAGATGTCATTTTCTCTTTAGCAGTCAGCTCTTCCTAACTAGGCAAGTCTGAGGAAGAAATAAGGAGGGGGGCAAAAAAAAAAAAAATCTTTAGCAAGGTAACCGCAGCACTTAATCTTGGATGATCCTGTTTTCTAGTAAAACCTTGAAACTCCAGTTCAGTAGCACAGTGAAAAAACCCACACCAAAACAAACGGGGAAACACAAAATGATAAAAACTACACCAAAACCCACAGAGTTAAAAGGAGAAGATTGCGAGTCTTCTGGCACTTGGATCTTTTTTTCACCAAGAGCTGCAATTCAACTCCTTTGCATTGCTCCTCATCTTGTTCTAGTTTCCATTTCTCAATTTTTTTTTTTTTTTCTGGTCTCCCTCCCCCCTTTTTTCCATCTTACCCTTTAAAAGCCTGTAACACTCCCACAGTACAACTGCATGACCGTGCCAAAATAACCTAAAATAATCCCAGAACCATAAGAAAAGGAAATCCTACACTGCTTCAAGCAGATGAAGAGGTGAGGAGGAAACAATGGTAACTGCACAGCTGCACAATTCCTTCAGTCCTGCTTGCTGAAACAACCTTTTTGATAAGGCCAATTCTGAGTCAAAGAAGGCTTCAGTGCCCTGAGTGGGTGCACATGGTTAGTTTAACTAACAACAAAAGGTGACCCCCAGTTTGACCCAAACCACCATCGTGGCCATTTTCTCCCTTATCCACCAAAGGTATTGACCACTGCCACATTCACCCACAGGGCCATCCACTCTCAATTACACTCCCTCTTTTCCAGGGTCTAAGTTCCTTAGAGATCAGGATACTCCTGTCTTGTTTGGCTGTTTTTGTTCCCCTGAGTTCTCCCCATTACTCAAGGGAGATCCCCAGGGCCCTTGCTTTCTTTCCCTGTATCACAAACTGAAGCTTTTTGACTTCCATTGCAGCAGCTCTCTGCCCTAAAAAGAAAATTGCAGCAGTGAGGGCACTGCTGCCTCTGGGTTTCTAGACTAAAGATTTGGTTTGTGTCAGGCAGGTTTCTCTTGTTTATCTTTTGTGATGAACAGAAGACAAGAGAAACACCTTTTCCTCCTTGAGCTTTCTTAAACTACAGAGATGTCTCACCATCTGTTGCTTCTACAGCTGGACTTGTGTGTTCGCTTACTTAATAGCATTAGGTGTTAATCACCACTGCTGTTCGTTCCTTTTGATTAAGGATCTCTATTTACTTGATGAGAACGAGGAGGATGAAAGCGTAGCTGCTCAGGAGGCAAGAATACTCAACGAAAGACTGATTAGGAGCATTTGGGCTTATCTGCTCCATCAGACACGACCTGCCGCTGATCCTGCTCCTTCACGCTACAATCCCGGCCAGTTCCGTGCGGAAGCACCGTAAGCCTCCCAACACATCCCCCTCCTATTCCATCTCCCTCACTGCTGGCATCATTACCCACCGCACCTCTCACGACGCCGAGCCCTGCAGGGTCCAGGGCCTCCCACAGCCCCGCCCGGCCCCGGCCCCGACAGACCGGCCCGAGCAGCGATGTCACACACCCCCCGGCTGTCGCCTCGGCGGCTTCCGCGTCCGGCGGCGGGCGGGGCGCCCCGCGTGTCGCGTCCGCTCCCGCCCAGAGCGGGCCCGGCGCGGGGGCGGCGCTTCGGTTGCCGGGCAGGGGCGGGCCGGGCATCGCTACCGCGGCCTTCATCGCCTTCATCGCCGTCATCGCCATGGTGAGCGGGGCCACGGGGCCGGGGACAGCGGCGGATCCGCGGGGCAAAGCCCCTCCGAGCGGCGGGAGAGACGCGCCCGGCTCCGCCTGGCCCTTGGCTGAGGGGCCCGCGGGGCGCAGCCGGGGGGGTTCGAGGGGGCCGTTCGGGCTCGTCGGTACCCAGCTGTTGCCGCCATCCCGGAGCCGCCCTGAGCTGGGAATAGGCTGGGCCAGGAGCTCGGGAGGGAAGGCAGTGGTGCATTTGGAGGAGAGAATACGTTTCAGGTGCCACAGTCTTTATTCTTGACTGGATCTGCTGTGTAGTAATGCGGGACAGACGACAGGATGTCATTGCAGGGGTAATAATAATAAAAAAAAAAAGTTTGCATTTTAATCTCGGGGGTGATTGGGCACTGGAACAGGCTCCCCAAGGAATTGGTCACAGCACCAAGCCTGGCAGAGTTGGAGAAGTGTTTGGACAGTGCTCTTGGGCACAGGGTGTGACTCTTGAGGCTGCCATGCGCAGGGCCTGGAGTTCCACTCAGCAGTCCTTGTAGTTCCCTTCCATCACAGCATATTCTGTGATTATAATGATGCTTAACTGAGTCCCCTTTGCCCAAGGTGCTGTGCAAACCCCAGTGCTGTAGAACGGATTAAAAAATAAACAGCTTTGAGTTGTATTTTGTACTCAAACTCATATACAAGACATATGTAGTAGCCAGGCAGGTGCACCTGTGGGTGGGTCCACCCTTACACACCTGTCTGCAGCACCTCAAACTTTCCCCAACCCCTTCAGCAGCTTATTTTGCACCTTGCTTTTGGAACATAAACTCGAGGTCAGCATTTGCCACTTAAATAGCAATGCCACTGTTTCTTTTCAGATACAGGAGTTACAAGTGTTCTGTTTAATCCAGGTAAAACTGTCATTTTCAATTCCCACGTTGAATTTATTCACGTTGGCAGAAGTCCTGCTTTGTGAGTTGTACCTTAGGTAAAGCATTTGCTTTGTTTTAGTTGATTTTCACTGAGTTTGACATGTTTGTAACATCCTTTTATTTCCGAGGTGACACCAACTTAACTTCATTAAAGCAGTGCGGAATCTTACAGCAAACTCAAACAAAATGTTTCATGGCATATTTTTTTAATTTCTTTTGAAAAGTCTTCAGTGATAGAAACTACATGATCTGTTGACATAATTTCATTGCGTGATGATTTTTATAGGTCACTGAGTTTTTTCCTATTATATTCTGTGCTGGAAATTATAGCAGTGATTGTTTGTTCTGTTCTTTGTGGCTTAGAGATATTCCATTTTTGTCTTTTATTTTTAGAAGTACTTGAAGATTTTAACTTTGCCCTTTCCTCCTTTCACATTTTTCTTCAGTAAACAAATGTTGTTATCTTAATATTTTTCTGCTGGTAACTGTGGTTTTAAAATTTAGCCATTTTTTACTCTGCCTGCAGTTTTCTCTAAATGTGTTTTTTAACTTGCAGGATTATTCCCAGCTGCATTGTGTTCCACTGCTGCTGAACAGAGCAAAATATTTGTTTTTTGTGTCTTAGATCTTCATATTGTCAAAGTTAACATATTTTTTTTCCCTGAACTGCTTTGCACTCTCACTCTCACTGCAACCTACTGTAACTTCAGATTTCTATGGTGTTGTTGTCTGGCCAATTTCTCCCCTTGCTGTTGAATTTTTATTGTAATACTTTGCATTTGTTTCTAACGAATTTTCAGATTATCATTCTGAGTTTTGCTTCTAAGATGCTTACAATCTTTCCCACACCATAGTTGTTCTCCCAGATTCTGAAAGTGTGCTTTCTCAGTTTCATTTTCAGTGTAGTAAGAAAAATCCAAAATAAGGCAGGTGCATGGCAGATTGTGGAACGCTATCTGACTCCCAGTTGGCGAGGGAAGTGTTCCTAATTACATCTTCATATGGCAGATGTAACTGCTCTTTAGTTTAGGCCATAATGCCTTGCTCAGCTTGTCAGATTCTCAGGTGTCTGATTGAAAGCCTTATCAGTTCCCTGTTTGTCCCAACTGTGGCTTCTCCCTTGCTCACAATGTCAATAAAAGATTTGTTCTTGACAAATTTTTATTATGTTGTTGTTGTCTTAGATGTTGAATAACCAGCTGCTTAATAACTCGTTCCATTATCTTCCCAAACACTGCCTCTCTTGCCCTTCTCCTGTGCCCTGAGACCTTTCTTCTCTGGTCTTTCAAGTGTTACAGAGTCCTGCTTGTTTCTTTTATACTTAAAAACCCACTAATTTTTCCAGTCATGTACCCTTCATCCTGACAGTTTCCTAAAATGCATTAAGAATAATTTGGGAGCTGGAAGGTGATGGGAGAACAGGTGTTTGGGAATGAGTGCTGCTCAGTTACATATAGACACAGGATCCTGGGAACAGGCTGAGTTATGTGTCTGTTGGATGACATGACTTTATGTACCTGACCCATCTTAAACCTGTTCAGAACATCTTTTCTCAGGAGCAAAATCAGAATGTAAGAGATGCCTTCTGGTGGATTCTGATACTGATCTGCAGGCTGGCATTTAGCCTCAGCATTTTAATTAGCTTCTGAAAATAATGAACTGTGGTTTAGAAAGCTTGACCGACCTTTAGTACTATGTTGCTTTCACTTAATTATGCAACTTCAGTAAGTTTTAACATGTATACCTACTCAGAAAAAAACCCGTTACAAATCATATCATGGCCACAGAAAGAAAAAGGTAGTAACTTTTAGGGGAATCAGTTTGGAATGCATTTGTGTCACACCCTGTACTCCACTCATGTGCAAGCAGTGCTCTGGAAGTGGTTGTGTGCGTTGTAAAACTGGGCACGCATATTGTGGTGGTGGCAGAAGCTGAGGTAAAGGGACAAATGTTCTGAAATATCCTGCAGTTATTTGTCAGACAGCACTTTGGCTTTACATCCTGCTAATCAGTGGAGAGCAGCTTTCCTTGTCATCAAATGGCAGCGTTTCAGATCAGTCCTGGTGCTTTCTGGTATCTGGTTTCTAATTGTGTGACCTGGCAGCTGTGGATGAGGAGCAGTAAATTCCCAGAGGGAAACCTGCTTCTCTCCACCCAAGATGTGCTCTCCCTCTTGGCTGCTGGAATGCTCTGTTATTCTGTAATGGTGCCTTTCATGTAATCACATACAGAGATGTATTTGTCCATGATCTTGACAACGTCAGTTTCTTTTGATTCATGAGTTTGGTGCACTTTCACACTTGAAAGTGTTTCAGATACGGAAGTGCAGCATTTTCCAGGGAACAATGGGCTCTGTTCACCGCAGATATGGAGCCTGATTGCAGTGAAAACTCTGCACCAAAGTGCAGTTTAGAGGATTTCCTTTTCTTCCACCCTTTGAAACAGTTATTGTTACTCCTGCAGCCTGACAGCTGCATTCTACATTACAAAGACTCTTTGAACAACAGGACAAACAAATTATTTCCTTCTTGTGCGTAAAGATATCAAGGCACATAAAAGCCAGGTCTAATTTCTGGTTTTGACCTTGTGGATGTAGAAGGACAGGTTAGTGAAATTTAAGTTCTTTTTGCAGAGTTAGGGGAAAATATATATGAAATTTGCTCTCCTGGTTGCCAGAGCTTGCAGTCTTGTAATTTTGACCAAAATCTTACATATATGAAGGGATGAGCAGTTCAGCTCACTTCAACAGAAAATTTGACAAATTGTGGTTACATGTTTGCTGTAATTGTTGTTATCATCAGTTCATTAGTAAAACCCACCGCTTGGAGAATATCAACATGGAAATCATCACCCTTTAGACAAGATAGGGAAGAAAAATGAGAAATTTTAAGTGCTTTGATTCATCAGTGGAAAATATTTCCTTTTTTAGAAATTGGTCTTAGGAAATGAATCAGGAATTTCTATAATTTAACAATAGTGAGGCCTGGGTTTTCATGGCGCGTTCAGGTTTTCAGCTGAAGACTTTATAAAGGCAGAACAGCTCCTCGGGCTGTGTTGGTTTACAGGAGTTTCTCTTGGGACCTGGTGGTCTCAACCATATTGAATCATGTGGTAAAATGGAATAATTTTGATGAAGATCTGTCATTCAGAACTGATCATATAAACAGACTAACTCTTTCCTGCTAATAGACTTTCCTGAACAAGTGCACGTTTATAAAATTACTTTTCATAACTTTCAAATTGCTTACTTCCTATTGCAAAACAGCTACCATTAAAAAAAAAAAAAAAGGCATTTTAAACTCTTCCAGGAAAACATGCAGTATCTCTGCAAAAGACACTTTCCAAATGCTTACGAAATTTTTCTTCTTTGGTCTTCAAACAGGACTCGGTTTCACTAGAGTGACAGCTGGTGATTACATTGAATTTTCCTCAGCTGCACAGTGTCCTGGTCCTGTCAATTGAAAGCTTGCAAGACAGAGCCAGCCACAAAGACAATTCTCTGTACTTAATGGCCAACTCTCATTTGCAGCATTTCATCACACGGGAAAAAAATTTGTATGCAGTGTGAGGAGAAAGTAAGCAAAATGCTATCTAACTACTTATTGCATGGTGAGTCTTCCTGTGAGCATCAGGAGTGTGTCATGGTTTTGTCTTGAACTGGTGAGTCCAAACAGTGGAAATTTGCTTCTTCAGCAGGTAGGCTGTGTGCATTGCATAAGATGTAGATGAAAAAATAACAGATTCTTTGGCACTCTGTCAGGCAAGTGAAAACTGTTTGAAAACCCCCATAACTTTCCTTTGTTCCAGGAGCTCATTTTGGGTTTGATTTTTATGACACCATGTGCTTTATAAAATACCACCCTACAAATACAAAGTTGACAGGTTTAGAATCCATGGGATAAATTACCTCTTGCTGTAGCCAAGTCTTGGCTTTGCTTGCAGAAATTGCCATCTCTCCAAATGTAATTTTAGATGAATTGATGGCTCTTCTGATGGGGTGGCTCAAACAGGTGACATTGTGATAGTCAAGTTACCTAACAATGTCTGATGATAAGTTTGATACTGATCTGCCTTTGTCACCCAGAGT